TAAATGTTTGCTTCACCATCAAATTTCCATTTTACAGTTCTTTAAACAGAATTCTGTGGCTTTTAGGAGGTTTAATGAGCAGCAGCAGTTAGCTGTAGCATTTTGGGGACAGTAGCTACAGGAATGTTACATTTCTGACAGAAGAACTACACGATCTAAAGCTGAGAGCAGTGGAAAGTTTTATAAAATTGCTTTTCTGCGTTTGTTTTAGCAAATATCTTCTTTGTCAGTCTGCTCAAAATCTTTATTTCTTCAAACTAAGGTTGTTCAAATACCTATCTACAACAGGTAAGATACTATAACCTTTCTACAAAACTCCACTTTAAAATATTTGAACTTTTCCTTTTATGTTTTCTTTATCACAGTGTCCAGATAAATATCTTACCTGCAGCAAACATCATTCATCATACGTTAACGCGAGAATTAGGGCAGGCTGACAGGCTAAACTAAAAACTGATCCACGCAAACACTGCAAGTTCGGCCGAATTATTCAAATCTCAATTCAGTTTCATCCAGTTTATTTATTTAGTGCTGAAGCACAACAGACGTGTACAAAAATGTTAACATATTAACACAAAATGTCAATTAGTAAGCTTTCTTAGGAAGTGAACAGATTGTGCTGAAGTTCCACTTCGTCGCAGTCTCCCATCCTGATCAGCTCACAGGCGACAGTGGAAAGAAATGACGCCTTTTTAACAGGAAGAAACCTCCAGCAGGACCAGGCTCAGGACAAGCGGCCAGCTTTATAAAACCTTCACACTATTGAGATCCATGTTACTTGTGAATATTTTTCAGCATGATGCAGCTCATTCCACACTTTTTTTTATCTGTTTCAGCAAAACGTTCAGCTCGTTCAGGATATTTCTATGACTTTTTGTATTTGTGCATTGGACTTTTTGAAATATTTAGCTGTGTCAGCCATGTTTTTTTTTGTTTTTATTAAAAATGAATGGAGCTCTTTCCACATCCCTCAAACTCTTGGTGCTGTTTAAAACATTTTACTGCTCATTTCAGCTTTTGTTGGTTCAGCTCTTTTCAGCTTCCTTGTGCTAATTTCAGTTTCCTTCAGCTCCTTTCAGCTTCTTTCTGTTCATTTTAACATTTTTCAGCAATTTTTCTGTTCTTTTCAGCTTCTTTCTTCAAATTTAAGCTTTTTGGGGTTGTTTTCCTGCTTCTTTAAGCTAAATTCAGCTTGTTTCAGCTTTTAAGGTTTTTTTTTTTAGATGTTTTTCTGTTAATTTGACCCTTTTTCATTTGTTTGCTGATTTCCACCTTTTGTGATTCTTTCTAATAATTTTAACTTTTTATGCTCCTTTCAGGCTTTTTCCTGCCAATTTCAGCAACTTTGTTTTGCTAATTTCAAAATTTTTATAATCTATTCAGCCTCTTCACCCATTTAAGCTTTTTCTACACATTTCAGCTGTTTTTCTTCTGCTTTCTACTTTTATTTTCCTGCTTTCAGCAAATGACAGCTCTTCAAAATCAACTTGCATAAGCAATTTACTAAAGAAACCTTTTCAGGCTGGTTTCAGCTTCTTCAGCAGCTTTCAGCAACAATCCTTCAGCAATACGCATTAACACTGCATTTTTGCAGGAGATGCTATTTCTAGTTTTTGTGTTCTGCATCAAGTAAAACATTTACCAACAAACCTCACAGCTGCTGTCAGGGCATGCTTTTAGTTTCCACTTATAAATCTTTCCTCACAGCAGAGATGTTAAGAAGCTCTTTAAGAAAGTTTCTTTACAATCCAATAAAGTTGTCAGGTCCTCTGGATGGTTTATTTGTGCTGAAACGTTTCATCTTTCATCCAAAGGACTTCATCAGTCCGAGGGGCCACAACAAACTCAGTCTCACAAGCAGCACACTCATAGTGGGCCAACCAGTTTGATGGTGATAAGATTAAGGTGATAAAATGGATATTTAAACTGGATTACTGAGCATGAATGTTGATGTTTGGAACCACTTTGGCCATGGCTGCCTTAGGAGTCGAGAGGGGAGAGGGCGAACTACAGACGCCATCTTACCACCATCAAACTGGTTGGCCCACTATGTAAATGGACTGTACTTAAATAGCACCTTTCTATCTTATCAAGACACTCAAAGCTCGTTACACTACAATCTGTGCCCTCATTTACTCATTCATACAGCACTCTACTAGATCTGTACAAATATTAATCAGTGCTTTATCACATTCATTCACCAATGTGACACATAGCAGAGCCGAGGCAATGAGTTCAGTGTCTTGCCCAGGGACACTTAGGCATGTGACTGCTGGTGGAATTGAACCCCCAACTCTTGCATTGGAGGACGACTGCTCTAACCACTCAGTCACATCCGCCCCATGTGTGTGTGCGACTTGTGGGACTGAGTTTGTTGCGGTTCCTTGGACTGATGAAGTCCTTTGGATGAAAGACGAAACATTTCAACAAAAAGAAACCGTCCAGACGACCTGATATAACTTTGTTGGATTTTTTTCACCTGGATTATTGAGCATGAACTTTGATTTCTTTACAATAGAACATACAGACAAAATACATCAGAACCTTAAAGGATGCACCTTCTTCACTTCTGGACTCTGGGGGTCTATTGTAAGACCTCCAGAACAGTTATTAAATGCCACTCAGACAATATAAACACTTTTATTCTGCATTAGAGGATTTTTGCTATTTTACCAAAGCTTCATAACTGTTTTAGGACAATTAACAAAAAATTAACAAAGTTTCTGTGCAAAATATCAAAATATATAAGTAGCAATGGGACTTCTGTCGAAGTCTGGTTTGCAAAACAAAAAGAGGGACTGCTCTTGTCCAAAAACCTGCCGCCAGTATTCATTTAATATCTCTGCCCTGTCTCTTGTCCTCCTGATTTATCCTAACAGGGTTTTCTTGAGAACTAAATCTACTTAGGATTTATTGTTTCTTATTATTTCTCATCACTGGAAATTATAATCCTTTCACCTAATCCTGCTCCACCTCCTCTCTTGTCCAGATCATATTCATCAAGATCATCCCCCTGCGCCGAAGCAAAGAAAATCAGCACAGTGGGGATCGTGTGCCGGAACAAGGGGGTTTCTTCCAAATCAAAGCCGGTTCCTCTGATGTAATCAAGACGAGACGCCAGAGACGGCCACATAATCTCCCAGAGGACATGCCACTCTTTGCTTGCAGGTTATTAAAAAATGGGGAGGAACAAATCTTTAGATTGAAAGACCGAAAAAATGGAATTATAATAAATCGCAGGAAAACTGGGGCAAGGTTGGATAAAGCCTTCAGATACAGATGAGGGACAAATCTTCACTGTGGGCCCAGCTTGTGTGTACTTATGTGTGTTTGTGTGTGAGAGAGAGCGTGCACGCTCACATCTACTGTAATGTGTTGGAATGGCTGATTGTAAAACATTTCAATTCACTCAAGATCAAGTCCCTGACCTGAGCCCTCCCTGTCTGCATTTGTGTGAAAACACAAAGGGAAGCTAGTTGTCCCAGTTGAACCCACTCCATCCTGTCAGATAATCTGTCTGCATCTAAGATAGACCCTTCATGGTCAAAGTTATCTCCATAATTTCACCGTGCACTGACAATAAACATCCACATGATGGCACAACGTGATAAAAATGAACTCCTGCCTGAAATTCAAACATTTTCTCTTTTATTCTTACCCTAATGGCAATATATATAAATAACTACTGTTGTTGAAAATATAAAATGATTTTTCCTTGTGAGTTTGGATTTTATTTACCTGACAGATGCACACGAACATGATCATGACTCTGTTGGCCTTATATATATATATATATATATATATATATATATATATATAGTGCAACATTTTTGCCTAAAATGTTTGGTTTAACTCTTGGAATTAACCCTGTCTGTCCGTTAGTAAAATATTTTGTGAACCACTGGGCAGATTTTAATGGCACGTGCAGAAAAATGACCCTAACTCAGACAGTTTTAAAGACGTTGAAATAAAAGTTAGTGCATGGCTGTTTCCTTCTGGTTCAGAACTGCTCTGAGAGACAGTTTGCTCAAGTAGAAGTAAATCCAAAAAGAGGTACAAGACAAAAACAGCTGGACTTTATTTTGCAGGACGTAGAAATAGAAGTCCAGTATAAGACCAATGCATCTTGAGCTGCAGGAATAAGGTGGACAAGATCAGTTTTTCTTATCTCAATCTAAAATATCCTTTTTTTATATCAAACACCAAAGATGTTTGTATTGTGCTCTTTGGAATGTGTTGTTTTCTATTGTTCTTTTTTTGTTGTTCTTTTTTTTTCTGTAAGACTGAGTGTCTTGAGAGGCCCCTAAAATTAGCAGCTTTAGTTCCTGATTGTTTAGAGCAAAACACTGTACAATTGTTAAAGAAAGTAATTATGATAAATGTCTTCATAAATATACTGTGTCCACTGGATTGTATTTATGCCATTTAAAATTTTAAATGCTTTATGGTAAATGAGATGTTGCAGTTTTTTTTTTTTTTTTTTTTTTAGAAATAGATTCAAATGAAAATTGACCAATTTTCAGTTTGTCTTGAGCCACATTAAAAACTGCAAACACATCAAGGACCTTCAAAAATCCTGATGAAGTATTATTCATATGTAACTGAACAAACTACAAAACAAATATGTCTCTTGAAGGAAAATGTAACATCTGATTGAAGAATTCATTCACCGCAAGTGGACCATTTTCCTCCTGGTGTAATGGCGACGATTGAACGCATGGGGGCACTGTTTGACTCATTTAAGAAAAGTCTGACTTTAAATAAAAAAAAAAAGGAAGAAAAATATTATTTTTGAATGGAAATGACCCAGAAGCTAGCTGGAGGCTAATGTGTGAGCTACTCATAGAAATGGGCTCAGACGATAATTAAATAATTTAAAGTCTGGGTGATATTTGTTGCTCTGAGTTGAAATGTCAACTAGTAAAAAAAAAAAAAAGAAAATAGGTGACGCCCCGACACTTGTTGCCCTTCTTCTTGGAGAAGGGGTTCTCTGCAGACCAAAAGTTACGCCTTCCGAATTTGGCTGCAGAGATACCTACTTGTCTTCTTGTCCAAGAAGAAGTCCAGCTGCTGGTTCTTTTGACAGAAGACCACCACCGGCAGCATGGAGGGGCTGGAGCGGTTCGACAGTCCGGGCAAGGGTCGAGGACTCCGCGTCAAGAGAGCTTTTAAAGCCGGGGAGCTGCTGCTGTCCTGCGCGGCCTACGCGTCCGTGCTGTCGGTCAGTGAGCGAGGCAGCTGCTGCGAGCTCTGCTTCACCAGGTAACACCTGACTCAACGTGTCACCATATGAAAAATGCATCCTAAAGATTGTAATGTAACAACACTTACATGTTTAAGCACTGGTTTATGTTTTGCTACACTTGACCACAACATATCTAAATTAATATTTATAGTCAGAAATTAGGTTAAAGGGAGTAGTTTAGATCTTTTTAAAGTGGGGTTCTGTGGTTAAGAGCAGTAAATATCTCACCTGTCGTAGATAGCTCTTTGAACGGCCTCAGTTTGCAGGAGTAAAGTTTAATTCTGACCAAACTGATGAGTTAATGGCTAGTCTGACCTGGGTCAAGACCAAACTACATTTCTGCTATGCCATTCTCGTTGTTTATAGCAATTCATAAGATTGGTATTTTCTAAACCGTTACGTGATCATAAACTGAGCGTCATGTCATTATTTCAGCAGAAACATTTGGATATTATACTGCTGGTAGTTACTGTTTGGCTATCAGCAGCAAACTGGTTGATCCACTATGAGAAGGCGCTATTTATAAGACTGAGCTGAACACAGCACTTCAGACTGACGAAGTCTTTCAGATGAAAGACGAAACGTTTCTTTTTTTGTTTTGTTTTGTGAATGTCCAGAGGACCAGACTTAGCTTTTTTAGATTTTTCTACATGGATAATTGAGCATGCATCAGGATATTGCTACTATTTGCTTTTGCAAATGACCATAAACATCTTTGAAAACAACTGCAATAAACAACAGTGTAGAAGTTGATCAAATTTAAATTTGGTGTGACTTGGAGATAGCAAATATCTCTGAGGTTTTGACTCCTGAACTGTTTCAGCGTGTCGCAGAGACAGCTGGTCCGTGACCACGCCGGCTCTATTAATACCACAGAATGTTTTAAAGCCTATCGGTTACTGCAGGCCACCAGCCACGGCTGTTTCTAGTCCTGGAGTTATCGAGCAGAGCGCTTAGGTGTTTAAACAAACCCTCTGCACAGATACTGTGTTGCATGATCAGATGCACGCAAACAGATGTTCATTAGCTGTGGCGGCCTTTTAATTGGTTCACTCCAAAAGTTTAAATCAGTTGTAGAGGTACATCTGATGGTTTCATTGTGAAGGTTTCATTTAAATCAAGCCAGTGGGTTATAAGATATTATGCTAACAGAGTCTATGCCAAAGTTTTAAGCAAAAATATAGCTAAATGTGCAGTGTTCTGAGTATGTTTGGGGAATGTTGCTCGGCTACTACCAAACCAAACTTTAGCTCATAATATGTCAAAATAGGAAACAAAAGAAACACAACAAATTCATCAAAAAAGAAAAAAAAACATTGAATTAAAAAGGGTGCAGAAAGAAGAAGAAAAGTCTCATAATATCTGCCCCTTATTAAAAAAAATATATAAAATAAACAAACAACAACTCAGGCTTGAACATCTCCAAAGCGAAAACAAAAAACCATCAGGCATCCTTCACATGGTATCATACTTTTCTAACAATTTTAACTTAATCATCTTTTTAAACATATAAATTGTTTTAGAATTTTTTATGGAAATATTGAGGTAATTCCATAATCATATTCCCTGAATTACAACACAACTCTCCTTCAGACTAGTTCTAAATGGAGGTTTTACAAACATTTCCATTCTCTTAAAGTTATAATGACTCTCTTTTTTTAAACAAATTTTAATTGAATATTTGTGGGCATTTTTTATGAGCTATTTATACATGACTTGCAAAGTATTATATTCAACCAAATCATAAAATTTTAACAATTTCAACTGATGAAATAATATGTTTGTTGGGTGACCATAGCACTTCCTACTAATAATTCTTATAGCTCTTTTTTGTAAAATAAAAATAGGGTTTGTAATTGTTTTGCATGCTTTCCCCCAAACTTCAATACAATAGAATAAATATGGAACAATCATTAATCATTTCAAAAACTCTTGTACTTTTTACAGTAATGCAATTGATTTAGCTATTTTTATTAAGTAATTTACATGAGATTTTCATGTCAGCTTCTCATTAATAACGATGCCCAAAAAATGTATTTCATTAACTCTATGAATTTTAACACTGTCAATTTTAAATGGGACTTCAATAATTTTCTATTACTAAATATCATCTAGTTTGTTTTTTCCAAATTTAATGATAACGTCTTAAGTTGGAACCAAGTTTGTATTTTTACGAAATTTGCCTGTATCATCTCTAACATCCGTTCAATATCTTCTCCTGAACAAAATAATGTGGTATCATCTGCAAATAAAACACACTTCAAAAGCCCTGACACATCAACCAGATCATTCATATACAAAATAAACAACTTTGGTCCCAACACAGAGCCTTGAGGGACTCCACATTCATTGACACAAAATTCAGATTTTGCATCGTTTACCTGTACAAACTGTCTCTTATTATTCAAATAACTGGATACCCACTGTAGTGCTAATCCTCTAATGCCATATTTATTCAGTTTTTCAAGGAGAATGTTGTGGTCAATAGTGTCGAAGACCTTTTTTAAATCAACAAAAACACTTAACTATTTTTGATCAACAGCATTTGGTATCTCTTCTATTAGTTCCATGAGAGCCATTGACGTTGAATTATTTGCTCTAAACCCATACTGACTATTATGTAAAATATTATGTTTATCTATAAATCTTTAATTGGGTTTACTCCATAAGTTAATTCGTTTTTTTTTTAAACAAGTTCAAGATCTCTCTTTTCCAAGCATGACCTGGCCAGGTCATCAGCACACGTAATAAACAACCAAAACAAGTAACAATAAAGCATAAAACACAACTACTTCAATGGTTTTTGTGTTTTGTGACTTCTAACAAAAAGAAATAGTTAAAAACAGGCAGGGACAAAGGTCTCACTAAGTCTGTTTCCCTAAATGTTTAATTAAAATCCCGCTGGTGGTTCCTGAGATATTTTGCTAACAGGGAGGCAGAGTTTACTTATTGTTAATGGCAAAGTTTTAAAAGCAGGTCTCATGCGACCTGTTGGCTACTACCACACCAAATCTTAGCTCAAAATCTGTCAAATTCACAGATTGTCTTTGTTTAGCTGTGGCGGCCATCTTGAATGAGGTGAACTTCAAAAGTTAATTAATTGTAGACACAAATTAACACTCACAGAAACAAGGAGGAAAACTCAACGGGCGGGTTAGGGTCTTGGGCGGGGGTGTCTTGGTGTTGATTTAAATTGCACAAGTACAGATGGTGGTTTTGATGTTTTGTGGAGTTTAATGATGTGTTTTTATAGGAAAGAAGGCTTGGCGAGATGTGGGAAGTGCAAGAAAGCTTCTTATTGCAGTAAGAAATGCCAGGTAGGAGTCCTGTCGCCTTTTTTCCACTTCACACATTAAAGTAATAGAAACTATAAGTTTAAAGTCTAAATGCTCCAGCGGTTCTGTTCAGTGGGTCAAATATCCTCTCAGTTCATAATGTTTAGTCAATAACGTGAAGCTATGACTGACCTGTTTGTAGCGTTAGTGATAAATTTACCTCTGATACCTCCTGCGCTGCAGTGTCATCCCTAACCAGTCAAATCAGAGCAAAGGTGTTTTTTTTTGTAAGAATACAGGAATATAGAAATTCATCATTGATGCTAAAATGTTGCTCCTGATCCAAAATAAAGTGACTCAGTCAGATCAAGTCATCTTCAGACTACACCTGTTACTTGTGTTGCTCTGTAGTTTCATGTTGAAGACGTGCATAAAAGGCTACGGTAATACAAAGTGTGTTTTGTAAAGTCCGCAAACTCAAATTAAATCGTAAAGGAAATGGACAGTTTGAAGACTGGTGGAGTAAAAGGATATGTTTTTTATTTCCTTCAGTTTTTAACATTATTTAAATAAAAAAGCTGTGGAATAAAGCTAAAAAAACCCCGCACATTTCTGTTGACCTTTAAGTAAGAATGTTTTATTCTGTAATGATGTGTGAAGAAAGCAGACTGGGCCATGCACAAGCTGGAGTGTTCGGCCATGACTGCGTTTGGAGAGAACTGGTGTCCGTCGGAGACGACTCGCCTGGTGGCTCGGATCCTCGCAACCAAGGTTGGACATGAATAAAAAGGCAACAAATCTAAGGTTTTTTAAGCACTTGTGGTCGTTCAGGAAGATATATATATTTTTTATGTGCCTGCTCCTTGCAGAAACTGCAGACAGAGCCCTGCGCTTCAGAGAAAATGATGCTCATAGGAGAGCTGCAGTCACGTGAGTATTTGTAATGATTGTTTTCTGACTTGTGCACCCGCCATGTGTCATCAGCAACTTTAGTGTCTCTTTAAACTTTTTTAAACGTTTCTCATCCTGCAATTTTCAAGCTATTTCAACAAATCTTAAATCAAAACATTCAGCTCTTTCAGGACAATCTTGGTGTTGTTGCATCTTTAGCTTTTTGAAATATTTAGCCTTTTCTGACACTTTTTCTCGTACATAATGAATTGAGCTCATGTTACATTCTTCAAATCTTTAGATCTGTTTATAACCTTTAACTGCTCCTTTCACATTTTGTTCTGGTTCGGCTTCTTTCAGCTTCCTTGTGCAGATTTAAACTTTTTTGAGCTAATTTCAGCTGGGATTTTTTTCAGCTGTTTTGTGCTCCTTTCAGATTCTTTCTGCTACCAACAATATTTTTCTGTTTCTTCTAATTTCTTTCTGCTCATTTCAGCTTGTTATGCTCATTCCAGCTTATTACTGCAAGTTTCAGCTTTTTCTGCTATTTATGCTACTATTTAGCTGTTTTTATGCTAAATTTAATTTTTTTCAGCCAATTCTAAAATGTTTGCACTCATTTCAACCATTTGCAGCCTAATTCAGCAAAAATGTGCTCTCCACTTCCTTCTGGAAATTTAAGCTTCTTTCTGCTTTTTAGCTACTTTTCAGCTGTTTTTTTTTTTTTTTTTTTTGCTAATTTCAGCTTTTTTTCCAGATAATTTCCACTTTTTTGTTTTTATTTCTGCTTCTTTCAGCCTAGTTGAGGAAACATGTTCTTTCTGCTTTCTTCTGATAATTTAAGCTTGTTCTACATTTTCAGCTAGCTTTGTAGCATTTTTTTTAGCTAATTTAAGCTGTTTTCAGATAAGCTCAAGTTTTTCCACAGTAATTTCTTCTACTTTGAGCTAGTTAACTTCTTTCTGCTAACTTCAGCTTGTTATCTAACAAGGTAGGTCATCTGGATGGGTTCTTCTTCAACAAAAGAGAATCTGTTCAGATAACCTGACTTAACCTTGTTTGATTTTTCAACCTGGATTATTGAGCATACATCAGGACATTCAGTTTATGCTTCTTTCAGCATATTTCTGAAAGTTTCAGCTTTTTCTGTTTTTTTTTTTTTGGCTACTATTTAGATGTTGTATGCTTATTTTAGTATTTTTAGCTAAATCCACATTTTTAACTAATTTTAGCTCGTTCCACTTCTTTCTGGTAGTTTAAGCTTCTTTCTGCCTTTTCAGCTAATTTTCAGCTATGTTTTGCTAATTTGAACTATTTTTAGCTAATTTCCTAATTTTGTGCTAATTTCTGTTTATAAACTTAATTCAGCACATATGTGTTCTTTCTGGTTTCCTCTAATAATGTAAGCTTGTTCTACGTTTTTAGCTAGCTTTTTAGCTTCTTTTTTTTTAGCTAATTTAAGCTGTTTTCAGATAAGCTCAAGTTTTTCCACAGTAATTTCTTCTACTTTGAGCCTAGTTAACTTTCTGCTAACTTCAGCTTGTTATCTAACAAGGTAATTCATCCGGCCAGATTCTTCTTCAACAAAAAATAATCCGTCCAGATGACCCAATTTAACCTTGTTTGATTTTTCTACCTGGATTATTGAGTATGCATCAGGACATTCAGCTTGCTATGCTCCTTTCAGCATATTTCTGCAAGTTTCAGCATTTTCTGCCTTTTCAGCTACTATTTAGCTGTTTTATGCTAATTCTAGTATTTTCAACTTTTAGCTCATTTTAGCTCATTCCACTTCTTTCTGGTAGTTTAAGCTTCTTTCCGCATTTTCAGCTACTTTTCAGCGATGTTTTGCTAATTTCAGCTATTTTTAGCTAATTTCTTAATTGTTGTGCTAACTTCTGCTTATTTAAACCTAATTCAGCACATATGTGTTCTTTCTGCTTTCTTCTGCTAATTTGGGCTTGTTCTTCCATTTCAGCTACATTTCAGCATGTATATTTTAGCTAATTTTAGCTGTTTTTCAGCAGCATTCACTCTGCATTTTCACAGGAAATGCAATTTCTCTAGTTTATTTTGAACTTTGCACGCCAAAGTGAAACAAGAAGTGACATCAAAGGGGAACGCTTTAAAAACAGGAACTTCCTGGTTTTTGTTTGTTGAAACAATATTATTTGAACTCTTGACTTCTTTGTCTCTCTCTTTGATAGTGACTCAAAATTATCTAAAGAAACATCAGACTCTTCTCTACTGTCCGTGTCAGCCATTGTTACGATGTTCAGTTTACATGCAGGCGTTCCTCTTTGACATCACTTCCTGTTACTGCTTATGCGAATATCTCAACAACCATTCAACTCAGCGGTGTTATTGTTTTGTTTTTTTCTCAATTCATTATTAATGTTTTCTTTCCAAAAATACATCCATATTCATTAGAAACATTTGTATTGTAGAATGTATGTAGAAATGTATTTTATAAACTCTGCACATTATTGTCATTTTGGCATTGTGCTTTAAAAAAAAAACTGTTTCGGATTTATCAAGATAAACAACAAAATTGGTATAAAAACTAGTCTTAAAAGAAAAACTTTCACAGTAAAATCACATCCGTCTCTGCCCGTCAGACCTGGAGGACGAAGATAACGAGAAAATAGAGCGGACCGAGGCAGATATTGCTGGCCTTTACCGTTTCTACTCCAAACATCTGGAGATGCCCGACCACAAAGACCTGCTCCGACTCTTCTCCCAGGTGCACGCATGGAGATTTGACCTTTTTTCCTTTATTTTGTCAGCTTAGATGGGGAATCTGCATCTTTCAACTTCCTCTTTTTGTGCTTCATTTAACAGGTTGCCTGTAATGGTTTCACTGTAGAGGATGATGAACTGTCCCAAATGGGTGCCTCAATCTATCCCGAGTAAGACCGAATCCTCACCTTTTTTTATTGAGCTGCACCTTGTCATGCAAGTTTTAATACAGTGGTGCTTGAAAGTTTGTGAGCCCTTTATAATTTTCTATATTTCTGCATAAATATGACTTAAAACATCATCAGGTTTTCACACAAGTCCTAAAAGTAGATCAAGAGAACGCAGTTAAACAAATGAGACAAAAATATTATACTTTGTCATTTATTTATTGAGTAACATGTTCCAATATTACATATTTGTGAGTGGTAAAAGTACGTGAACCTTTGCTTTCAGTACCTGGTGTGACCCCCCTGTGCAGCAATAACTCAACTTAACGTTTCCAGTAACTGTTGATCAGTCCTGAACACCAGCTTAGAGGAATTTTATCCATTCCTCTGTACAGAACAGCTTCAACTCTGGATGTTGGTGGGTTTCCTCACATTAACTGCTGCTTCAGGTCCTTCCACAACATCTGGATTGGATTAAGGTCAGGACTTTGACTTGGCCATTCCAAAACATGAACTTTATTCTTCTTGAACCATTCTTTGGTAGAACCACGTGTGTGTTTAGAGTCATCGTCTTGCAGCATGACCCACCTTCTCTTGAGATTCAGTTCATGGACAGATGTTCTGACATTTTCCTCTATAATTCTCTGATATAATTCAGAATTCATTGTTCCATCAATGATTGCAATCCGTCCTGGCCCAGATGCAGCAAAACAGACCCAAACCATGATACTACCACCACCATGTTTCACAGATGGGATAGGGTTTGTATGCAGGAATGCAGAGTTTACCTTTCTCCAAACAGAACACTTTTCATTTAATCCAAAAAGTTCTATTTTAGTCTCATCCATCCACAAAACATTCTTCCAACAGTCTTCTGGTTTGTCCACATGATCGTTATCAAACTGCAGACGAGCAGCAATGTTCTTGTTGGAGAGCAGTGGCTCCTCCTTCACCCCTGCCATGACCCATTGTTCAGTGTTCTCCTCATGGTGGACTCATGAACATCAACATCAGTCAATGTGAGAGTGAACTTCAGTTGTTTGAAGTTACTCTAGGCTCCTTTGTGACCTCGCAGACTATTCCACACCTTGCTCTTGGAGTGATCTTTGTTGGTCCACCACTCCCGGGGAGAGTACCAATGGTCTTCCTCCATTTGTACACAATCTGTCTGACTGTGGATTGGTGGAGTCCAAACTCTTTACAGATGGTTTTGTAACTTTTTCCAGTTTGATGAGCATCAACAACTCTTTTTCTGAGCTCCTCAGAAATCTCCTTTGTTCCTGCCATGATCCACTTCCACAAGCATGTTGTGAAGAACACACTGTGATAGATCCCTGTTCTTTAAATCAAACAAGGTGTCCACTCACACCTGCTCATCATTCCATTGATTGAAAACACCTGACTCTAATTTCACCTTCAAATTAACTGTTAATCCCAAAGGGTCACGTACTTTTACCACTCACAAATATGTAATATTGGATCATTTTCCTCAATAAATAAATGACCAAGTATAATATTTTTGTCTCATTTGTTTAACTGGGTTCTCTTGATCTACTTTTAGGACTTGTGTGAAAACCTGATGATGTTTTCAGTCATATTTATGCAGAAATATAGAAAATTATAAAGACTTCACAAACTTTCAAGCACCACTGTAAATTTCAGAGATTCTCACGACGTCTCTGAGTGCATCAATTAGCACCTGAAGTGTCCTCGCTGTGAGCCATGCGAGGTTTGCCCTGGTCTGTATCAAGGAGTCAAAGCAGAGAGAGTATTTTTACTCTAATATCCTTCTCCCTCCGTCTGTCTCTCCCCTCAGCGTGGCGCTAATAAATCACAGCTGCCTCCCCAGCGTTATCGTCACGTATAACGGAACGTCAGCCGAGGTCCGGGCGGTGCAGGACATGAAACCAGGAGATGAAGTGAGGAGAAGAGACAGCTGCTGTTGGGGGGTGGGGTGGGGGATCTGGTTCCTCGTTTTGGTTTTTTTAGCGTTGAGAGGAGGGTTGAGCTCTCTGCATAAACACTACACCATTTAATCCAGTTTCATGCTGTCATTTCACAGTCTGTCTAAAAATAAAAACGCTCCAGATCAGTTCAGTATCTTATTATATGTTCTATTATTTATTTATCTATGTATATTATCTATTATACAAATTATTATATTATTATTATTATTATTATACAAATACCATAATGGGTCGGTTTGTGAACTCTGATTTGAAAATTGTGAAGATGGATGAAAAGTTCATCTTCAGATCGACTTTTTCTAATTTCACGTCATTTTCCAGTAGCATAGCTAAACTCTTGACCCTCCTGACTCTGCAAAATTATTACCCACCACCAAAAGGAAAAAGACTAGCAATATTGTTTTTGCCAGTGTCTGTCTGTTAGCAAAATATCTCATGAACTGCTGGACGGATTTTAATGAAACTCTCAGAATGTAATCATTAGAGTTACATTTCCAAATCACTGACGTTTGGGTTCAACTTAACTCAAGATGGCTGCCCCAGCTAATCAACCTTAGCTAACAAAGAAAATGTTTAAAATTCTGTCAGTTTTACAAATAGTGATCCAGAAAGTGTTGTGGTAGTTGGTGAGAGTCATTCCAAACATAAACTCCCAAGTGCTTAGCTCACATATCACATAACACGAACTTTATTTAAAAGGTTTCACCACAACAAATATACAGCAACTTCATTATTACTCAACACAAACTTGGATAAAAGTATCAAGGTGCATTCTTTTCTGTATTTCTAGATGAATAATGAGCTTTTCTGCTCATTTGATTGTGTGAATGTTTATGAAGCCACAATTCTCATCCTGCAGTTTTCAAGCTATTTCAACAAATCATAAACCAAAACGTTCAGCTCTTTAAGGACAATCCTGCTGCGACTTTTGGTTTTGGTGCAACTTTAGCTTTTTGAAATATTTAGCCTTTTCTGCCATTTTTGTCATAGAAAATGAATTGAGTTCATTTTACATCCTTCAAAACTTTAGATCTGTTTACAACCTTTTACTGCTCCTCTCACATTTTGTTCTGGTTCAGCTTCTTTGTCCAAAATTAAACTTTTTTCCAGCTGTTTTTCAGGTTCTTTCTACTAACTACAACATTTTTGTGCTTCTTCTAACTTCTTTCTGCTAATTTCACCTTCTTATGCTCCTTTCTGCTTATTTCTGCAAGTTTCAGCTTTTTATGCTATTTCAGCAACTATTTAGCTGTTTTATGCCAATTTAAGCTTTTTCAGCTAATTCCACTTTTTGCACTCCGTTAAACTTTTTCAGCCTAATTCAGCAAAAATGTGCTCTCTCCACTTCCTTCTTGTAATTTCAGCTTCTTTCTGCATTTTTAGCTACTTTTCAGCTGTTCTTTTGCTAATTTCAGCTTTTTTCAGATAATTTCCACTTTTTTGTGCTAATTTCTGTTTCTGTCAGCCTAATTGGGCAAAATGTTCTTTCTGCTTTCTTCTGCTAATTTAAGCTTGTTTTACCTTTTCATAACTACATTTTTAGAATCCTTTTTTAGCTAATTTAAGCTGTTTTCAGATAAATTCAAGTTTTTCTTGGTAATTCTTGCTACTTTCAGCCTAATTAACTTATTTCTGCTATTTTTAGCTTATTATGCTCCTTTCAGCTTTTTTCTGCTATTTTCAGCTTTTTCTCCTGTTTCTGCTACTGTTTTATGCAAATTTTAGCTTTTTCAGCTAATTCCAAATTTTTTTAGCTCATTTCAGCTCTTTCCACTTCCTTGTCATAGGCTAAGCTTTGTCTGCCTTTTCAGCTAATTTCTAGCTGTTTTTTTTTTGTTGATGTTGCTAATTTTAGCTTTTTTTGGCTGATTTCCTAATTTCTGCTTGTTTAAACCTAATTCAGCAAATATGTGTTCTTTCTGTTTTATTCTGCTAACTGAGGTTTGCTATTTCATTTCAGCCTGTTTGTAGCTAATTTCACACTGCATTTTCGCAGGAATTGCAAATTCTCTAGCTATTATTATTTTAATTTTATTAAAGGTTTTATTGTTCTTTCCAGGTGCTCATCAGCTACATAGACCTGCTTTATCCAACGGACGATCGTAACACCAGGCTGAGAGAGTCCTATTACTTCACCTGCGACTGTCACGAGTGCAGAACCAAGTCCAAAGTACGTCCAAAATGAGAATGGAAGACTTCCTTTAGCAGACTTTAAAAAAAAAAAAAACTTTTCCATCTCTAGGACAAATTAAAGCTGAAGGTTCGTAACCGGAGCGAACCCGTCGAGCCGCAGGTCATCAGCAACATGGTGCGCTACGCCAGGAATAAAATCAGAGAGTTCCGGGCCCTGAAGAATGTGAAAAATATCCTTTGGTGCTGAATTATCAGAAAAAAAATCAAATATTCAAATAAAAGTTCAGTGTTTGTTTAGGTGGCGTTTTTTAGGCATCAGTAGTTTGTGTGGAAAACCTTTGGCTGAGTGTTTACCTGATGCAGCCTTGACTCAGCAGCACCTCCCAGTGAGTTGCTGGACATGTGTGAGCAGAGTCTGGATGAAATGGGAGCCGTCTTTGATGACTCCAACATCTACATGCTCCACATGATGTACCAGGCCATGGGGGTTTGTATTTACACGCAGGATGCTGATGGAGCCATCAGATACGGACAGAAGATCCTGAAACCATACAGGTACCGAGACTCTTCTTTTGTTTGAAATGTTATTGTTTCTGCAGCCATTTTAACGAAATACTTCGAATACTTTAAAACTTTACAGACACAAAGGTTTGTTATTGATGCAACAAGTACTGGTTTGATTTATTTTGCTCGAGCAATGCTAACATTTACTGAATACATAAATACTTTTCTCTGCTTGTTTCGACCGATGTTAGGGAGCCTGAATCTGACAAAAAATACCTTAAATAGTTACTTCACATCTTTTGAAGTGGGCTTCTGTGGATATGAACAGTTAATATCTTACCTGTTTTGGATGAATATTTGAACCTTTGAACAATCTAGAGAAATTGTTTAATTCTGACTGGATCGACGAGCTAACAGCTAGTTCAAGCCATTAGCTCTTCAATTTGGTCAGAATTCAACAATTTCACCAAACTGAGGCTGTTGAAAGATCTATATGAAACAGGTAAGATAATAATTGTTCTTATCTTCACAGAATCCCACTTCAAGATTCCCAAACTCTCAAATTAAAATGTTTCCAACCCCAAAGCTCAGTTTTGTCTAATACGCAAATCTAAGATGCCCTTTTTTATGATTATATTATTATTATTATTATTATTGTTGTATTATTTTAATCATTATTTGTATTTGTGGCCTGTCAAAAGACAGATGTATTATGTCTCCTATGGTGGCCACAAACTAGCTGCAAACACATGATGCAAACTCCAGAGCAAAAAAACAAATGCAAAGGAAAAATGCTGCAAATACAAAAAAAACACTAAAACAGCTGCAAGTAAGAAATGCTGCAAACTCACTCCATAAAAACAAAAATGCACCAGACCAGGAGGGGGACTGAATTCCAAGTCCTCTGGGAACAGACCCCCTTAAATATATTCTAGCTGAGCCACTGGCCAAAAAGTGGCTTATTTTAGGAGTTTAATGCACACTTAGTACTTAAAGCTACAACTTATTTTATTTCAAAGAGAAATGTTTTCTGGTTATTTTAAGCCTGGTTGTACTAAAACTGGAGCGCCGGGGCTGAAATTGTCTTGAGAAGGATGGTACCCCCAATAATAAATGTCAAATCCTTAATATCTCTGTTTTGACTATGCCAAGACTATCTGAAAAACATAGTTTCTGTCCTAATGTGTCCTTAGTATATTGGTATTAAGGCAGTTTATGTTTACTTCATGAAGATTAGTGAACTTGGTTGAAAATATGTAAAAATATAGTTTTAAAAACTAGCCTGTTTTGTAAATTGCTACAAACCTTTAATACTTATCCAAACACTAATATCAGAGATATCGCTGCATATACAATAAAATTATTGGGAGTACTTCTACTTCACATTTGTAAGTCTTAGAAATGAACCAAATCATCTTAGCTGGACTTGATGCTTGTTTTGCTGAACTTAACCCATAATTAGGATTTCATTTTGTGACAAAATTATCTGCTTTCTTTTTCATGTTTATCTTAATATAATGTATCTGGTTTTCCTATGAAATTGCAAATGACATGATTTAAAGCCATTGTCTTGCCAATGTTTAATTTTCTTTTACTTTACCTTTAACAGTACTTTTACATTACCAAAACCTCTCTTTAGTTGACAGATTTTAAAAACCATGCCTATTATGAAAGTAGTATGACTTTACACGGTGACCACTCTGCTATAATGTCTTTAAGGGGGTCTGGTCCCAGAGGACTTGGTGTTTGAGTCCCCCTGCTGGTCTGGTGCACTTCGGTTTGCAGCGTTTCTTACTTGCAGTTGTTTTGGTGTCGTTTAGTGTTTTGGTATTTGCAGCATTTTTCCTTTGCATTCGTTTTTTGTTTTAAGTTTCTTCTATTTTCTGTGATTGCAGAATTGTTTCTTTTGTAGCATTTTTCTGTTGCGTTTGCATCGTTCACGTGTTTGCAGCTTGTTTGCACCTGTCGGCCTCCGTAGTCTCCATTCATCCATTATGCACTTATCTCTTCATGCCAACAATTTAATGAAACTTCATGCACATGCATGTAAGCATCATCACTAGGTGCGAGTGTTGCACAGACTTTTCGTCACTCCGGCTTCAAGGTCACAAATCAAGATCAAACGTTTTTGTTTTTGCTAGTTGGGGCCATAACTTCTGATCTGTTCAAGATAACTGAACAAAAAAACAGATTGTTGCTGGATAATAGTTTGTCGACATGCTTATGTACCATAGTCTTGTTATAAACTGTAGCACCTTAATATTTGGGATCTTTTGTCACATAAACTTAACTTTAACAGAAAAAGAATAAAATACTGACCAGATGTTCATTCATTATTCCACACAACTGTTTGCCTCTTGACTTACTGAGTGAAGTGTGGTCACGTTTCGTGTCTTGCGCAGTATACTGTACCCACCGTACTCCCTGAACGTCTCCTCCATGTACCTGAAGATGGGCAGGATCTACAGGGGGGTGGAGAGGCACTCGGAGGCCGTCAGTGCCTTCAAGAAGGTCGGCTTTACCAATCACATACAGACATAACAATGCTTTAAAAGTTATTAAAATGTTGTTTTCTACGAACAGGCTTTGGCTATAATGGAGGTGGCTCATGGGAAGGATCACCCCTACGTTAAAGACGTGCGCAGAGAGATGGGACAAAAGTGAAAAACGTCCGCGCAGCTGCTCTCGATGGGACTCTTGATGTTTTACAGAACTGTGAGCATTTCCCTCCTGTTTTTATCACTTAAGTAGGTTACCACTCGTTATCTTCAAGTGGTGATTTTGTCTTCTTGTAATAGTAATTTATTGAAACTTTCACCAATTAAATGATTTTGAAGACATAAGTCTTAAAGAAAATAAGGCTTTATTTGCATAATGAGCAAGTATAACAGTTTCATGTGTCTGAGGAAGGAAAACAAATCTTAATGCACTCGGAATGCATTTACAAAACTTCTGTACACGTTAAACTGAAGAGTTTATGAAAGTTTTAATCAAGACGAGAATAGAAAATTAAATATAAAACCAACAGCCGAATGCTATGTGATGAAAATACTGACAAAGAGTGCAACAAAAAAAGTAGCTGTATGTCCAAATACTATAAAGCTTATACTGATTTGAGTACATACACTGTAATATATACATAGAAATGTTAAAAAAAACATGCATAGTTTATTATGTTTCGATAGGAAACCAAGTCAAGAAAAAAACACTCTCATATGTTTAGTATTTACAAGTCCTAATAGTTTTTTTAAACTTGCTAAAGTTGAAAAGTAGATCAGGACATAAGTTCATTATTTTTTCAAATTAAAGTTTAAATTATTTTATTTAAAATGGCAATTTTGTCACTTGTGTCTTTCAAAATAATAAAACTGCATTTGTTTTTGTTTTTTTAAGATGAAACGTTGGATTTGTTCTTATAATAATTAACAGATAAAGCCGAGGTACCAGAGCAACAAGATCAGAACAAAACGCTTCTTTCTGTCATCATCTCAGTAAGGCGAAGAATACATTATTTATATACACACACAGTATTATTTGTATAATCATAAATTATCTCCAATTTGGACACTTTAAAGTTTTGACACGCATTGAGGTCACAAATGTTTGAGAACGAGGGGTTTTAAATGTTCTGACATAGCCAATCATTTCATTAGAACATACAAGTTTACAGAAATAAAACAGGATCAACATTACGACGGTTTCAGATTACTGTGCTCTCCAACATCAAGTTGACCACAGACTTTATGAAAATAAATAAAAGCATCAGTTACGTCGCTGCTACTCGGTGATTAGGTAGAATCCTACAGTATGGCACACTCAGAATGAGGATGTGGAGTGTAGGACACTGCTGCCCCCTACTGTTCACGCTGCGTAACGTCTAATACTGACCAAAAAAACCAGAAGCACTCTCGGGATGTTCATGAAGAAATTAAGAATGCACGCTCACGCCTGCAGCCAAGACAAATTGCTCGTTTGCCTGGCCTACATGGAGGCAACGCATTAACGTGTATGTTTAAAAAGACCAAGGAGATAAAGAGCTAATTCTGAATGCTCTGGTAAAAAGAAACGTTAAGTTTCTACAAAAGCCGATTTTCTCCCTTGAGGTCAATTTAAAAAAAAAAAAAAAAAAAACAGACCAGTAGAAAGCTCACACAGATCTCTCTTCTGTCCACCAGCTACAATTTGTAACTTGAAGTACCGCCGTCATCGTCTAGTAGCATTATTCCACATCCTGTTAAGGTTGAGGTCGGCAGCTCCGGCTCAAATGAGGCGGGAGTTCTTGAGGAACTGGATGAGGACCTGGTAGACGAACTTGTACTGGGAGATGGTCTGCACCATCAGCATCCTCTGCTGCCTCAGCTCTGATAACATGGTGGGAACTTCCACTGGCTGAAAGAAGAGACGATATATTAATTTTTCATTTAAAAGGTGACTCATCTTGTAGAGTAAATGGTCTCTGGGGCATCTTCGCACCTCATTGTGCTCCAGGCAGCTGATCATGAGCTCAGTCAGGATTACCACCCCGGTACGACCCACACCCGCGCTACAATGCACCACCACCGGCGGGTTCAGGCTCTTTGAGGTATCCAGCATGGAGTTGGTGTGTCTCCTCACAGACTGGATTTCTTCCAAGTAGGCTGCAGGGAAAGACACAGAGCAAAGAGTGAGCTCCTCTCTGCAGGTGTTTGCTTCTTTCCAGTGGTTCCCAACCTCGATCCTTGAGGAACACCATCCTGCATGTTTTAGCTGTTTCCCAGCTTTGACACACCTGATTTGAATGAATGGGTGATTAACAGGCTTCTGCAAAACTCTGATGAAGTCATTCAATCACTGAATCATGTTTGGTGGAGGGAATGGCGCTCCTCAAGGACCAGGGTTGGGAACCACTGCTTTAGACAACAAACCGTAAAAGTCCTGTGATCATCACCAACTACGGATGACCACAAAAATAAAAAAAAATAAAAAAATCTCACTCACAGAGAAATCCAGGAACATATTCAGGACAGCCCTGCTCAGGCCAGTCAGTGTACTGCAGGTGCCAAACCGTCCTCTCTTGGCCAGAGAGCAGGTGTTTGACCTTCAACCCCGTGGTGGCGTAGCAGTTGTACTCTGTGCGAAACTTGGTGGTGACCTTGAACTTGCCGTGGGTGGCCGAGTTGTGTTTGGAGCCCAGTTTGGGCCAGTAGCGGTGACTCTTGGACCTGCCGCCCTCCTGGATTAGAGGTTGATACGACCAGAATGAGCGATGGTAGGAAATGGCAGACTGAACGCAATTCATGTACATAGACACGTTTGTTTGTACCTCCTCTGCTGTAACCATGGCGATGACGTTGACCCCCTGCTCCCAGATCATCTGCCAGAAGTCGGCAGAGGTGTTGGCTAGTGGGCCTTGAGCAGCGATGTAATGCCACTCCTCCCCTCTGATCATAACCTGGAGAAACCAACACATGCACCTAATTATTGGAAACCACACGAGTCACAGTGCAAACAGCTGCACAAAAACATTTCAATTCAATTCAATTCAAAATTCAAAAATACTTTATTAATCCCAAAGGGAAATTATTTTGTTGTTATAACTCGTTATCCTCATTTCATTAAGAGATGTTATAGATACTGATGGCTGTAGACAGGAAGGATCTCTTGTAAAGGTCCATCCCACAGTGGATCCTAAGAAACTGGCTGCAGATGCCGTCCGATCCGTCCACCCAGACTCGGCTGACCTCTCAGTTCCGCTGGACTGTAGGACCGCTTGAATGCTGGGCTGAACTCCTCCCAGAGCGATGGCCACTCCTCCCAGCAGTCTGCCGAGCTCCTCATAGCTGTGGACAGTCAACTGTAGGTGCTGAGGGACGATCCTGTCCTTCCACTGTCATGAGCCGTGTTTCCTGCTAGTTCCAGGATCTCAGTGGCCAGGCACTCGAGCACAGCTGGCTGGTAGATGAGAATGCGTCCACATAACATCCTTTTCAACTCATTTGAGAGTTGGGGCTGTAGTTGAGATATTATTTGAGCTTTTGAAATGTTAATCAGCTGCTGTTGTTGTAGAAAACAGCCTTGTTGCCATGGTTACGCATCATAACAAATGTCCAAAACTTTAAAAGTTTCAGTAAAAATCCTTCCAGCTGCACAGCATCTGATACCAGAGGAAACGATCATCCAAAAAATATGACTTACATCCAGAAAACCAGGAATTAAAGTTTCCAAAAGCAAAATCTCAGAATGAAAGTAACAGAGCTGCTCCAACATGCAGCCACCTTGAGCGGCGCAATTCTAGAAACATTATACATTTACATTATATTTAAATTTTAATCCAAGAAAACATTTAGAAGAAAAAAGTTGAAGATCATGTTATCACCACCAGAGGGCAGCATAATGAGCTCCAACTTTGTGTGGTTTTTTATTTATCTGCTACTCTTCCAATTTAGTTCAGTGTCCTTCCATTAAAACCATAAAGCACCTCACATTTTCCATCGTTAACAACATCCTAACTTTACTGGCGTTACACAACGTTCAGCTGACTCATCACGCCAGCCCGTGATCGTAAACAGCATTAAGAGATGGATTCGGACCAAACAAGGCCTTAAAACGACAGTAATTAAACAATATAAACTTAAAGTAGTTATTCACAGACTGTTTTCAACTTAGGGCGAGTTGAAGGCCAGTGAGAGAAAACCTCCAGTTCCTTAAGAGGGTTGGAGTTTGGACAACATTCTTTAGTAGATCCAAGGAGCTCTGAGAGCTTATAGGTCCAAACAGCCTTCAATGGCTGCCTTTCATCCTTTCCTTCAAGACATTCCCTGACTGATTAGAGATGACCACAACAGAGCCTTAAAAACAAACCATTTTAATTTAGGCTGAATGACATGACTGTGGCCAAACGCTCCAAGACTGTAGCTTTTCATTTAAAGACACGTAAAACGAACATGGTAGAAAAACTAATTAAAAACATATAAATCCTTACATTTTTTTTAAAAGTACATGTTGTAAATGTTTGGGTTTTTTTACACTGAAAACCTACAGGACTGAAATTTAAGATGTTGCTTTACAATTACAAACCAGAAACTAATATTATATTGATGTTATCCTTGCATGAAGCTGTGCTCTAGGTTGTTGTTTTTTTTTTTTTTTTTTAAAGGTATTTTGAAATGTAATTATTTTTGCATAAAATTACATGCAAACACCTCAGATTTTCATAATAATGAAGAAATAGTACAAAAATATACTTTTAAGGGGGAAAAAAACATGCCTGTGAGCAGCTAAATGTAAGATTAAGATCTGTTTGGACACAAAACTGGAGTGTTTTTTTTGTATGTTTGTTTGTTTGTTTGTTTGTTTGTTTTTTAAATATCGTATCATGGCCTCTGCATTAGAGTTGCATTCGAGCCCAAAGAATCTGATTCGACCCAGCCCCACCCCATAGCCATCATTTCCGGACCCCACTTGACCCGACAAAGTAACAGTACAGGTCCGAACCCAAAAAAAAAAAAAAAAAAACATTTTAATTAAGCCTTGACTGCTAATAGTTTTTAACAGTCGGTGGATGCGCGGACCGCGGTAAAGTTAGTTTCACATTGGACATTCGAGCTCCGTGGTTTCAGCGGTGTCTTCCTCTCCTTCAAGTTTGGCTGACCGAAATCAGACTGACTGCATTGGATCGAACGAGAGTAACACGCCGCTGAAGCCAAGGAGCTCGAACGTCCGTCAAACTTTACCGCGGTGACGCGCGGCTGAATAAAAGGGGCAGAAGATCAGAGCTGAGGGGGTGTTTGTCTGTTCATGGCCATCAAACAGCACTAAAACCCTATTTCTGCCTGCATTCTGATTTATTCAGACACGGACCCTGCTCTGACATGTCTGCTTTGGGATCTCGCCTGTTTGGGTCGTCGGCCGCACGCGTTCGCTGAGTGCAGTGGCTGAACATCCATTTGGGCGATGGATCACTTCCTGGCAGTACAGTCTCATCTGAAGCTTAACTGAACTTTATTTTACCTCTTTCAAGGCCGGTCAGTTCCCGGTGAAATGGCCGGGTGCGGCTGGTGATTGTGTGGCAAGCCATGTTGTCATATAATCTAATTATTTGGCAAGTCGTCACATAATTAGATTTTTTTTTTTTTTTTTTTTTTTTTTATGGCAAGCCATATTGCCATATAAATGGATCGCGGTTGATCCGCTGACACAATCAAAAGCCCGACACCGACCCGGCCCACCCATCCAGCGCATTATCATGGCCCACTCCACCCTAAATTCGGGTCGGGTTGGGCTTTGGGCCCGGGTTAGAAATGACAGCTCTACTCTGAATGACAAATTATTTAAAAAATAAAAGGCATATGTAGAGTCTGTGCCTCACTAAACATCTGTGAAGGTTGATCATAAGAATGAAGATTTTTGATGTTTGTGCGACTGAAATACCAAACAAAATGATCTGTATAAACTTTAAACTCGGGCAGCACTGTGGCACAGTTGGTAGAGCTTCTACCTCTCGGCGAGAAGGTCGCTAGTTCAAATCCCAGTCCAGGGGACCTTTCTGGGTGGAGTTTGCTTGTTCTCTCCATGCATGCGTGGGTTTTCTTCACGTACTCCAGTTTCCTCCCACAGACCAAAAACATGCATGTTAGGCTGATTGGTAACTCTAAATTGTCCCTAGGTGTGAGTGAGAGAGTGAATGGGTTGTCTCGTTTGTGTCCCTGTGATGGACAGAGACCTGTCCAGGGTGTCCCCCGTGATGGATGGACATGAACACCAGTGACCCCGGCAACCCAAAAGGAAGAAGTGGGTAAACTGGATAACTTTAAACTCCACTCAGACTGTATGCAAGCAGAAGAAACTGAGGAGCACTGTGGCCCTCCCCAGGAGTGATTAGCTAACAAAACCAATGTCGTGAATACCTAGAGTGACTTTTACACACTTAAAGGTGTGCTTTTAATCGTGTGTATATTTGCTTCCGTCACTCTTGATGGATGTGAGATGAGAGGGCTACTCCTCTAAAAGCCCTTTTTGTTTCTTTACCTTCTTTTGGGGCTGTAAAAGCATGTGTCTTCTCAATCAATTAAGGGACTCGATCTTCAGTAAGAAAGAACTGAGGGGCACTGCTGCAGATTGACAAAGGGAAACAATAAAATCCCAGAGCTGAGTATCTGATCACCCATTTCCAACGCACCTGGATATGCGAGGCGTTGATGTAACCCGTGTTGTTTTCTTTGTTGGGCACAAGCTCGACTCGATTCTCCTCGTAAGGGACGACATCACGAAAACGGTTGCGCTCCAGGTTTTCGGGCAAAGTTGCCGTCGTGACAACGCAGTTCACCCTCTTCTTAGGCACCTGCTCGTACTCAGTGAAGACCCGCTCCTCCTCCAGCTTCAGCTCCAAGGTCTTACACTGGGGTGCAAACAGAAAAAGAAGAGGGGTTAGTTCTCAAACACCAAGCATTTATTGGTTCCTCTTTGGGCACAGCAAGGATTTCGTTATAATGGTTGTTGCTTCACTGAAAATGGACTTTAGCATTCGAACTGATTTAACGCAGCTTCAAAACCTGAACAAAAGAAGAAGGGGTGGGCATTCTTCTTCAGGGTGCTACGTATTTAATAAACCAGTCATGTTTGGGAGAGCAGAATATCTTTCTTTCTTCCCCTTTTTTCCTCCATGGCTGCCTCGCTCGCCCCGTCTCGGGTCACATTCTTCACATAGCAGCAGGCCCAGAGACGATAATCACCACCATGCCACACGTTCCACAGCCCACTAAGGGGATTGCCCTCAATAGCTTAGCAACAGTCGGGGACGAAAAACCTGCTTTCACACCCCCCCAGAGCAAATAATCTGAGTGGGAAGAAGAATTAATGAAAATCATGTGATCACCATGAGTGAGCCAGATTTTCTTGGTTCAACTGTAATTTCAGATTTAGTGATTTTGGAAATTAAACAAATCTACAGTGGCCTCACAATGGTTGAAGCCTGAAATGGTTAATCTAAACTAAAAAGAGCACTGAAGATGATAGAACGATCTTACCAGAATTAGCAGAACAATTATAATACTTTGTTAAAGTGATGAAATCCTTGGAGAAAGTAACTTACCTTTTCGTCCGTAGCTGATTTGGCACCTTCTTCTGCTGGGTTTTGGGCAGCGGGCATTCGGGCTACGTAGAGGCCGTTGAGGGCGGCCATCATCAGTGGTCTGTTCATGGAGTCCACAGACATCTTTTGTCTTTCCAGCGTCTTCAAAAGAGAGGAAAATCCCGGTGTCATGACCGCAGGCATTGATTGTAAAACAAAGGGTCTACGTATGCGCATGACCAAAACGAGTGGCGCTACCTGTCCTCGTGTGGTCTGACAGCAGGTGTGAAACAAGTCCAGTTCACAAAACATCAAGAAAGATCTACATCTGTCCCTATATATTTTTTTAATGACCTCTCTATTTGTTTCTGCCTACCTTACTGCCTACTGAGTCACTCAAACTTTATGTTGCTGCAGAGTCCCTCCTTCCACCAAGGATTATCTCGTCTAACCTGTGATGCTATTAAACCTCTTAGACAGCTCCGCCTCCTTCGTCCACTGTGGGACAGTCAAAACGACAGCTGGACAGTCCAACAGGGGTTCCCTTTATGCATTAGAAAGAAAAATGCAGGTTGAATCAGGAGTGAAGAGCAGGACAGAAGTGAATTGTGTTGGAGGTTTATAGACACCACCACAGCAAGGCCAGTGATGGACAGAAGGGTTTATCACTCCCAGACGGGATGTGTTTGAACCCAAATGCTGTGTCATCTGCTTGTGTCTAAACAGAAGGCAAACCTGCACAAGAACCACCAACTCATGGCATAATCTGAGGGATTTGTACGGCTTTTAGCTGCCTGGGGGGGAACTCGGAGCCTAGTGCAACCCTCTTATGTACTGAAACTCAGATTACTGCTAATCAGAAGCTGTGAAACCTGCCTGTAAACAACAGACCATAAAATGTTCACCAAAATAACACTTACCCTATATTTCTGTTTCATAATAATGAGATATAATTTAACAAATTACACAAAAAGTATGTGCACATTTTATACAAACATCTCTTAATGAATAAATATTGATCTAAAGTTACTACAACAATAATCATTCATACTTAAATAAATTTATTAATAAACTAGGGGAAGGTTTGGCCCAGTGGTAAAGTGGTAACCTTTAAATCAGAGGTCAAAGGTCCAATTCCCAGTCCTGCAGATGCCAGATTGTCTTTGACAAGCCACTTAGAAGAGATTTTAAAAGGGCTCTTTACAAAAAGTGTAAAAAGTAAAACACAAAGCTCTGTTTGAGTGAGAAACATCGTAAAGTGCTTTGCAGAACTCCAAGTGGGTAAACGGGCACCGTCTGATTGTCTGTGGACCGTTTACATTTCATTTACATTTCATTTTCCTCATTCAGTCCAAACTGTTTTAACACTGAGGGGGGAATCGTCATCAAGGAGGCACCACATGTACACAGCAACAAATACAAAACTGTGGTTAGTCTTGGTACAAATTAAAATTTTATTGTGTCAAAGGTCCGTGCGGCACTTGTCAAGAAAAGTTTGTGAAATGTTTAGAAAAATAAAATCGGGGCAGGTTTTTTTTAACCTCAACAAAAAAAATAATTCCTTCGTTAAGAAATATTTAGCACTAATCTCCATGGATTGGATAATATTTTATAATAATAATAACAGTTAATTGATGTTCTACGTTTTTAAACAAGAAAACAATTGAAAGCCTGCTGAAATTATTTTTCATTAACTTTTAATCTGGTCAATAAGAAATAAATTATCTAAGGCATTTTAACTGTTAAGTTTTCCGAATGTGCGTTTCTGATGAAAACTGCTGAGAATTGTTAGACAACTTTTTAAAACGTGTAAAGCTGCCATCTTACCCTCTGAGCAATCTCCCTCTCCACGATGCTGTCCTCCAAGGAGAACATCTCCGACACCGGCCTCTCCCTCACCGGCTCCTTCCTCACCCTCTCCTTCACAATAGTCAAGTCTGGTTCTGAAATGGATGGACCTAAAACTGCTCCGTTTACCACACTCTGATCCCCTCGGGTCAGGGTCCCACCTGCACCCCCAGCTCCACAGACACCCTGGCTCTCCCCACAGTTAAGGCCTTGATTTAGGTCCATTGGTTCATGGCTGCAGTGTGGTGATGGATTGTGGTTGTGACGCTGGGTGAGGGTGTGATTGTGAGAGCGGATCTGAGCGTTGGCAGGAGGTCTTGGAGGACCAGGGTACTCTGGAGGGGGCTTGTTGGGCAGTTTAGCCAGAGCAGCCTGAAGCTGAGCACTGATGCTAATGTCCTCGTGGAGACCGGGAATCTGAACGTCCAGCTCAGGCCTCTCCTCTTCCTCCTCTTCTTCACTCTCACTGCTGTGTATGAGCATGGTAGCATTGGAAAGAGTCTTTTGGTGCTGGTAGGCCACTGCTGTAGGTGGCACCACAGAAGCCTCAGGTGCATTCTGGGCAGGTTTCTGCACAGGCAGTTCCTTCGGCTGCTGGGGCGGAGGTTGGGGCGGAGGCTGGGATGACGGCATCATGTGTTCTTTCAGAGTGTTCCTCCGAAGAAGAGGACCGTTCACGCTCTTCATCGCCAGCCCTTCCATCCCGCCTCCTCCGCCTCTCAGGCTGCTGATGACCTCCATGCTGTGTCTCTTGTTCAGAGTGGACCGGTGCTTCACAGCCGCAGTTAACGGTTCACTAACTTCCTGCAGGGATTGGTGGACCACGGCCGAGCTGTCCGGCTGGAAGGTCTTGACTGACAGCTGCACCATGCGGGTGACCAGCTCAGGACTGCTGCCCCCGATGCAGCGAAGACGGTGGCTGGCGAGGTCCGGCGTGCTGGTAGCTGGGCGAAAGGAGTTGGAGGGGTAAGGTGGAGGAGGACGCAACATGTGGTTTCTTAACATATTTGCTGTAGCTGCATAAGTTCCCATGTTGGCTCCTTGCTGTTTGGTGTTTGCCAGCTCAGGTGTGCTGACCGTATGGGAGATGGAGCTTCCAATATCTCCGCTGCTGTTTTCACCTCCATTGACACAGGGTGAATGGCAGGGACCCTGGCTGCTGACTGGTCCACCTGTATGGGGTCCATGAGACACTGGCTTACTGTAACTGATCTGTAAAAAGGGCATTAGGAAACAAAATCAGTGTAAGGTTAAATAAAACAATAAGTTAAAATAAAGGTCAAACTCAAAATCTATGGCTACCTGTGGTGTGTAAGGTCCAGGGCTGGGGCCGAGGCCATGATAAGGGCCCCTCTCCCTGATTTCTGGCTGGCTGTACACCAGAGCCTCCGGCTTACGATAAGCACATGCATTACTAATGTTCAGACTGCGCATCGACTGGCTGTGGAAGTCATGGTGGGCAGGGACCATGTGCCTCTTCTGCCGCATGACGGCATCGTAATCAGGTGTGGGCCGGTACGATGGAGCGATGATGGCACTGTGGCGGTGGCTGGGGATGTAGTCAGGGCGCATGAGCTCACTGCCGGGGATGCTGAGGTTGGAGGACATGGGCGAAGGTGCAACGAAAGTCTGGGAGCGATTGAGGGAGCCCAGGCTGGGGCTGCTGTACATGCTTCCATTGGTTACAGTGCCGTTTCGGAAAGGAAAGTCCACTGGATCCAGACTGGTCTCTGATTTGTAGTAAGGGTCTTCGTGGAAGATGCTGTCTACAGAGCAGAAAGGATGTTTAAAATAGTGACAGCTGTTTAAGCTGGCAAACAGAAGAAGCAAATGCATAGGTAAAAAAAGGAGCTAATTTTCTTGATAGTGAGTGTTGGACTGGCAACTGTGGTGCTCCGACTGTTCTAGTTTTTATTTTAATAATTCAAACGTAAAGCATCCTGATAGTAATGTATTTCAACTTCCATGTAATTTTCACGTGAAAGTAAAGCCAACACACACAATTCATCCTCACAAATGAACTAGAAAGTGATGCTTGAGGTCACACTCCAGAATAATCTCACGCCCACGCTTAGCACACCCAGAATGTTTTTCCCCACTATTTTATTGTCAAGCCAACGTGAGGAAAGGATTATAAGGCAGTGAGTGTGTGAACGAGTCAATGAAAGAGCGTAGCACAAATGAGGTCATCGTTCTGAGCCCCAAAAGCAAGGATCTAATTGGCTGGGAGGCTGTTAAAATACAAATGAGCTCCGAGTCAGACGGCTGATGGGAAAAACACGATTAGTTAAACTCTGACGTTTGAGTTATTGTCAGGCAGACAAAAATGTAAAAATAAAATCAAGTCCTGCTGTGGTTCAAGTGGTGACATGGAGAGGGTGGAGCTAGCTCTAAATCTGTGCATTTCACACTTACCTTGAGAGCTTTGCAAGTCCTGATAATGCTCATGCACCGACTGGAAGTTACAGGACTGGGGCCGGGTCTGAATAAAAAAAATTCATTTAGCACCGTTAAAAAGGCAGCACTGTAAGAGTTTCCAATTATCAGAAATTTCATTTTCCTTGCTTTGAAGAGTCAAGACAAGACTCCAGTCTTTAAACCACATGAACGTGGTAGATTTGCATATATACTGGGGATGGACTGTGCAGTTCCACACAGAACTTGTACCTAATTTAGTCTAGCCATTGTCTGGTTGGTTAGGAAGGAGAGGCAAAAATCACTGCCTTCATTGTCGCACCGGAAGCAACACCCAGGCCAACTTTCCAACAACGCCAACGCACATTAAAACCAAGACTTCATGGCAGAACAAGAACCTACCCTGAGTGGGAGGGTGGGATCGGATCACTTACCACGGCCATTTCTGAATTCCCTCAGTCTGTTGTCTTTGTAGCTCCGTTCTAGTTTCATCTGTTATTTCTGAACATTTTGCTTCCAAGAACACTTTTTTTTTTAAAGTGGTCCTAAGTTATATTTTGTCAAGCTTTTTTAAAGTTTTTTTTTGTAAGACGTTGGCTTCTTTATCACTTCTTTTAGTCCAGTACTGACCATTTTCAACGGAATGGTTTATGTTTTGTTGTTTTGTTAAGCCACATATGTTTGGCAAAAGTATGACGGAGATTTAGGGCCAAAAAAAATTAAAGCCATAAAATTACGAGAATAAAGTCGAATAAAATCTTAATATTACGAGAATAAAGTCATACGAGTTGGATCCACGACGCAACCTGTCAATCAATCTAGTAGGCGTGTCAGCAAATGACCAATCCGAAGCTAAATGAGTCGTAATATTATCCGAACTCCGACACGATAAAGCAGAGTTTACTGCATTTTTTTTTTCATTCAACCTTTATTTAGACAGGTAAATCCCATTGAGCCTCGAGGACTCATTTACAAGAGAGACCTGATTTCAACAAAGAATGATGACAACAATGGACAATAGTGACAACAATAAACAGTTATAAAAAGTCATACTCCAGTTTTTTTTTGTTTTTTTTTTAACAAATAGGATGGCTAAAAAAAGGTAACAAAAAACAGCTAGATTATAAGGTAAATGTAGAAAACTAAAAACAGGAACATTTCTGCATTGGTCCCTGCCAGGAGTCCAACAGATTCTTAAAGCCACTTAGAGAGGTCAAGGTCGAGAGCTTCAAATCTTTTTGTAAGATATTCCAGGAAACAGGAGCAGAGTAGGAGAAGACCCTCTTGCCTAGTTTAGTCCTCACTGAGGGAACACTGCAAGTAATAATGTCCTGAGAGCGCACGCTGTAGCTGCACTCACGCAAAGACATGTAGGAGGAGATGTATGAAGGCAGCAGACCAAGAAGTGATTTAAAGATGAAAATGTACCAGTGAGAGAGTCTGCGTGACGTTAATGATGTCCAGTTAACCAGTGAATACAGGGTGCAGTGGTGGGTACGATAATCACAGCCAGTTATGAATCTTAGTGCACCATGATAGACACATCCAACATCTGCAGGGTTCTTGTAGGAGTGTTCATGTAGATAATGTCACCGTAATCAATGGAGGGAAGGAAAGTGACAGATACAAGGCGTTTCCTAGCGTTCAGGGTTAGACAGGATCTGTTTCTGAAAAAGAAACCTTTCAGTTTCTTTACCAAGTTTTCCACATGGAGCTTAAAAGAGAGATGCGAGTCGACCAAGATACCCAAATATTTATAGGAATCAACAAACTCAATGGGGACACCATTTGAGGATAAAATCGGAGGAAGAACTGCTGGGACCAACTTCCTATTTGAAAAAAGCATCCCTTTGGTTTTGTCAGCATTTAGGACAAGTTTGAGGCGCAACAAATCTGTCTGGATGTTGTTGAATGCAGATTTCAAAAGCTGGAAAGCCTTATCAACTGTTTTAACTGTGGTAAAATGAAGAATGTTGAGCATCTTGTTAAGTTATACTTTGGTATAGGTTTTATAAATAAGGAGATAGTTAATCTGTTAGCGCATCAGATTATTATCAGTATCAGGACTTTGAACCTACTTACAGTACGGTGGTACGCTCTGATGGGCTGCAGCAGCTCCTCTGCAGGTAAGGAGCATTTAGCTTCAGATTGGTCATTTACTGACACGTCTACTGGATTGATTGACATGTTGCGCTGTGGATCCGACTCAAGGTGAAAAAAAACACGAGAGCTGAAAAAAAAGTCTTGTGCTACTTTATTCCCGTAATATTAAGACTTTATTCAACTTTATTTTCATAATACTATGACTTGATTCTCGTAATTTTATGTTTTGTTTTGTTTTATTTCTTAGCGTGCCCCTAAAGCTCTGTTGTACATAAGAACCAAACACAAAAAAAGACCAAAATTCAAGGAAAGAAGCAGTTGTGTCGACACACATTAACCTAATAAAGAATCACTTTTAGTAATTGGAATATTGCTAGTTACAAGCTAAAGTACTACTAGCTATAACTAGCTAGTAACTACCTAAAGATTTTAAAGATTTTTTTTACCAAGTTTGTTGTGTCAACACATAACAGACATCTTAGTTTAACAGACGATGTTATGTGTCGACTCACTCGTTGAACTCTTTAGCTAATTACTTGCTAACATGGTAGCTAGCTAATACTAGTAATTTTGCTAGTAGCAGCGCGTCACAAAGAAACAATTTGTTTCCTTTTATAAGTCAAATCTATAAATAAACACTAAAGATGGCAGAATTATAAATAAAATAGTATTTTAGCACCAACAGGATGTTTTCCAGAAGATTTTATCTGAAAACTTCATTTACCGTCCAACAATTTTCAGTCAGGTCATCTGGACAGTTTCTTTTTTTTGTGTGTGTGCTGAAACGTTTCACCTTCCATCCAGAAGGCTTCATCAGTCAAGGAAACACACAACACAAAACTGATTCTTCCCCCAACAACTTACTCCAAAGTGGAACCAACCAGTTATGTTGGTGAGCATGGACTATGTTGGTTCATTTACCGTATTTTTCGGACTATAAGGAGCACTTTAAATCCTTTAATTTTTCTCAAAAATCGACAGAGAGACTTAGAATCAGGTGCGCCTTATGTATTAATTCTGATTGTGCTTACTGACCTTGAACCGATTTGATGTGGTTATTGTGAATGAGTTGAATAAAGTTTGACTTATCTGTTTTGTTTAGCTTAATGTGCCTTATAGGCTGAAAAATACGGTAGTAAATAATTTCCTGAAGGGTGATAGATATTTTTATTTTTATGTCTAGTCTTTGCTGGATTATTTTCTGTTTATAAAAGACAAATTTCACATACCTTTTATCTAGTATGGATTTTTTTTAGGCCTAATGCATCCTATTTTGTTTACTTTGTTAAAATCTAAGCACAATGCACAATATGCAGTGTCACGGTCAGGTACAAGAAATGAACGAAATGAGTGAAAAAAGCGGACAAAGTCCCAAAATGTAAACAAAGAAAAACCTTCAGAATGCCTCAAATCTATAGATGAAGACTACTTTAAAAAAAGATTACAAATAGTCGTTGAAAGTAGTAATAAAGAAATATGGGGCGTAATAAGCTTTTGCACATGCAGACCAGAAACGGTCAAAATGATGACACTTGCAAACTGTACCAGAGACAAGCGGTGGTTCCAGGTGGGTCTCCTTCTAATTGGTGCCGGCGAGTGAGTGGGCCTAGTGAGAAAAACAACATAAATGATGATTCAACAAGAGTCAAATTGTATTTCACTAAACCGCAAGTACCATGACTTCTTTAGTAATCGCATAAAACAAATGTTGCAAACTTTGTTTTGTAGTTACATAACCTTCCAAAGATTTTCTGAACTCAGTTCTACAAACTTCACACACTGTAGTGGCCTTCAGAAGGCCTTGCGGTGCAACCTTGAGACTCACTCGATGCAGATTTTGTTCTGTTTGTAGAATTTGTGTCTGGCCGTGAAAAGACGAGCAATGTACTTGGCCATTTCCATATCCTCCTGCAGAGAATCGCACAAAAAGAAAAAAGAAAACATTGACAGTTTTATTTACTGGAAATCAAGCCTGAAGCAGCCTCTGATATTTTTCTTTGCTGTGGCGTCTGTGGATGGAACGTTCCATCGTGTAGGAAGTGTTTTGTGTTTGAATGTGCCGAGGAGAGCCTGCAGACACAACACCCACCATGTGAAAATTGATGGTGTCGTCTCTGCTCGTTATCTCCACTGTGATGGCCGACTTGTTGTGCGCTATGGTACCAATGTCCTTCCACCTGTTGCACACACACAGACGCATGCCAAAACAGGAATGCATGCAAAAAGTAAATTTTCCCACCGTGCATTTGTGCTAACCCCAAAAAGTAAGGCGCTTACTTGTGGAGCATAATGGATCTGCCATTTCTGTGTTTGACAAACAGTCCGATGAAAGACACACCAATGAAAATGTCATTTGTGTAGTTGTCCTGTGGGGGGGAAAGGGGAACACGTATCTTAAATGGAGCCCTCTCGTTAGCTGTGAAAAGGCTGCTAATGACAAATTTTATCCACCTTAGCAAGAAAGCTCTCCTGGCCAAAGCTGTCGAGCTTCTCCACCTCCTTAATGTAGAGCAGTTCTGCCTCAGCGGGCTGCATTCCACTTTAATGGACAAACAAACACCAACAGTTCATGCTCAATAATCCAGGTACAAATCCAACATTTAAGACACAAGACATTTTATTAACTAAATAGTTAGGAACCTTTGAAGTGGGGATAAAGGTTTATAAAAATAACATTCAGTTAAACTGCTATGGTTCAGGCTAGCAGTTAGCTTGTTGATCTGGTCAAAATTCAACTTCATTTCTCCAAACTGAGGTTGATCAAGGAGCTATCCACAACAGGTAAGACACTAAATGCTCATAACCTTTCCACAAAACCCAACTTCAAACACTGTTGCATTATTATTAAGCCTTTTATCTTTAGCTTGCTCACACATGCTGGGGCCTGGGTAACTGGGACCCTGTGCACACAGTTTCGTTCCACCACATGTACCACACATGATGCGAAGGACAATAAAGAAACCTTGACTGCACTTATTTATTAGATTAGAAAGTGAAGCTGCTGTTACCAGTGACTTTTGTGCTCCTCAGCAACTCTCTTGGTCCAGTCCTCCTGCACCTCCTCTCCATTAGGCCAGTTCTGCAAATAAAACAAACAAAAAAAACAAAGTAAACAAAACAGCAAATGACAGATAGGACAAAGAAAAAACAAGCCAAAAATCAGGAAATAATCAGACAGAAGATTGAAGACAGAGATGGGAAAGATAAACCCAACTTTTCAGTCCCAAAGAGAGACTTTGCTCTCAGACTGCAGGTTTACTTGTGGTTCCTAGAGTTTCTAAAAGTAGAATGGGTGGCAGAGCTTTCACTTGTCAGGCAGGAACCAACTTCCAGTTTCTATCTGTGAGGCTGACACTTGTCTACATTTAAGACTAAACTCAAGACTTCTCTTTATGGTAAATCCTATAGTTAGGGTTGGCTTGGATTTCCCGAGCTATCCCTTAGATATGCTGCATTAGGTTTAGACTGACCACATTTCCTCATTCTGCTGCTGTTTTTACTCCCTCTACTGTTTGTGTTTGTATTTGGAATTATTTCTATCCTTATCACGTTTCTTTCTTTCCTCCCATAGAAACCCCACCTGGACCAATCCTTCTGTGTCTCTTTCCCGTCTTCTAACTTCATCCAGTCGAGGCAGATGGCCACCCATCCTGAGCTCGGTTCTGCTGGAGCTTTCTTCCTGTTAAAAGGGAGTTTTTCCCCTGAATGTTTTTGTACAGGGTCCTGAGATTACATTTTGTTGTGAATTAGTGCCGTCTAACTAAACCGAACTAGAGTAAATTAACCCATTAACACCCATTCTCAAGGAGTAAACCGTTACGAATCTGGTAACTGAATAACTGCAGCTTAGCTAGCAATAATCACCTGATGTCAATCTAGCTCAACACTAACGACACAGTTGAAGCTCTGTCTGCCTGTCTGTCAGGTATGCATTAGGAGGAGGATCTCAGATACAAGAATGTGTGCCTTCGAGCTGTATATTCACAGGGGGACAGACACAAAATGTGTATTTAAACATTAAAACTCACCACTGGGAAGAGCGCGTACTCCCTGAGGAAGTCCTGAGAAGGGAAGTCAGTGAAGTCTCCAAAGTCAGCTAAAAATTATAACCACAAAATTTGAGCATTAAAAGAAAAAAAAACATGGATTTGGTTGATTTGAAACTCAGCTCTGAAGGTTAAAGAGCTCATTTCATATTCATGTCAAATCTGCAAATATTCCATCTGTAAAGCTGAATGTTTACTGAATTCAATCTTTTTAATAAACAAGGTTGTTGTCTAAAGTAGTAAACTGTGTGCTATATTTTCTCATTTTCACAACATCTGGTATAAAAGGCCCAAAACAGAAGTTTCCTTCATACTGAAAAATCAAGACATGTTCTTCAGACATGAAATATTTTAAATATTTTGTGTAGCTGTCTAATAATTATGTAATCTTGGAAATTCAAGAGTAAAAAAAAAAAAAAAAAAACTTTTCCTTTGCAAGGAAACTTTGATCAGGTGTTTATTTTAAAATGTTTGAATCTTGTTCTAAAAGATTGTAGCTGCATTAAAAAAAATAAACTAAATGAATTTCTGTGTACAGCCTTTCAGATTAACACCAGCGTAGTTTCATCTTCACTAAACTCCCTGAATTGTTCCAGCAAATTACACAGATTAAAAAACAAAATAATCTGATGTTAGACTCTTGGAATTATCAGAATCTTTTTTTTTTATTATTTAAATTAGTGTGTTTTATGAAGGCATACACCCTGTCCAACACATTAGAGTGCAAATAAATCTAGAGTATTTTTTTATCTTTCTTTGCATTTCTGCTTTACGAGTCAAGATTGCAAAACTATTTGGACACATTATCAACCCACGCGTGTGTAGCCAATCTTCACAACACGGCCGTTCTTCAGATAGGGCTTGTACGAAGCACTGAGTGCTGTTTGTTGGACAAAAGCGGAGGCTCCTTGCCTCCTGACAGATAAGAGTCTTCCTCCTGCAGCCGAAGCTAACCTTGGAGCTGCTGATAAGCTGTAATGATAAGTTAAACGTCTGTTTACATTTCCCCCTGGAACACAGACGGCACCCAGGAACAAGCCGGAGAGGATCGAGTGTGCGTATGTGCTTGTTAGGACTGATAGGAGCTGAAGTGGACCGGGTTCTCCCTTTGGTATGCAGCCATATAAGGCAGGGGAGTCGAGATGACCTGCAGACGCATGAGTTGTGCGCACTCTTCTCTGTTGCTGCCTGACTTTCTAGTAAATCATTAAAAGTTTCCCCCGTTCAGGTTTTACCTTGTACTGCTAGGCCAGCTAGTCTGATGCCCTGCTCCACGGTGCACGGGAGGCGTCCGTCCAGCACCTCCTTCTTCACCTGCAGGTAATACTGATACCTACAAAGAAAGGAGGGGAGAAAATAAACAGAAATCAACTAGAGACATAGCATTTCCTGTAAACACGCAGTGTGAATGCTTATTGCGGAAGGAATTTTGCTGAAAGCCGCTGAAGCTGAAACCAGGATAAAAAGATTTCATTGCTGTAAGTGTGAGTTGATTTTGAACAGGTTCAAGGTGACTTTTTGTCATTCGCATCACGTGTGGTACATGAGGTGGAATGAAATTGTGTGCTCAAGGTCCCAGTTACACCCAAAAACAGCAATAATATAAACTATAAAAAAAATAAAACAGTATACAAGCATCTACGATATATGCTAAACGGTAATCCAGTGGTTCCCAACACTGGTCCCTGAGGAACACCATCCTGCATGTTTTAGCTGTTTCCCTGCTTTGACACCTGATTTGAATGATTCGGTGATTGAGGCTTCGGCAGAACTTGAGGAAGTAATTCAATCATTAAATCAGGTGTGTTGAAGCAGAGAAACAACTAAAACATGCAGAGTGGTGTTCCTCAGGGACCAGGGTTCGAAACTACTGTATTAAACAGCAGCCTGGGCTGACATTTGCTGAAAGCAGGAAACTAAAAGTGGAAAGCAGTAAAAAAAAACAGGTGAAATGTGTTAATTTTTAAAAAAAAGCTGAACAGAACAACAATGTAGCTGAAATAGGCAGAGAGATTGAACAGATTACAAAAAAATTGGAAATGAGAAGAAAATCTCATTAAAACTAATAAACAAAACCAGGCGTGGTTGCGAAAAGTCAACGTTGGAATTGTTTGGCTCTCTGGGAAAATTAAAAAAACAGCCTTGGTGTGTGGTTGTATCGCACGTTTATTAGCTTTCAGAAATAGCAAATTTTAGATTGTTAGTAACCGTTTCCTCGCACTGCTTTTGTAAAACTCATAATGGGAAACATGGCGAGTACAAGCTCGAACACATTTGTCCAAAAATAGCAAGAGCAGCTTTGGGCTTTCAGCAACTGAAGAATTATAAACAAGGTGACACCACACAGATTCTGTTTCTGCTCCGTGCGACAGAAAATGTGCGTCAAGGCTGTCCTGGCAGCAGTCCTCGCCACTTTCAACAAAGCCAGAGAGGCCTGCTGCAGAAGAAGTGAGGAATGAGTGAATCACCTCTGGATGAAATACCACTGACTCATTTCTGACTTGAGTGGAACGCCAAGGAAAAGCTCACATGATTTTATAAGTTTGCAACAGTTTTTTCAGGGAAACGGAGGACGTAGCATCGAGCAATGAGTAGAATCGCCGAGGGACGTTCAAAAGTGCTGTGCAAACGAGGGAGCAACTTTCACCGTAGTTTTAGGTAGTGGTGGTTTTGCTGCGCAAGCCGATACGCTGACGGCGCTCAGATTGCTAAACCCGCTGACTTCAGAAAATGTGGTGAAAGTCACAAAACCAAGATGCTGAAATACACAACGCTTCTAAAGTTTCTGAGCTCCCTTTGTCCCCTTTTAGTCTCGGTCCAGCTGGATGTTTGTCTTTAGAGGAATCAGTGACCACACAGGAGGAAAGGGAGGACTGTCAGGGTGACTGGGCTCAGCCGCTTTAAAACTTGTGCACCGTTTCCTGTTTGCTGCCATGGCAACCACAGGCTTTCCAATGTGAACAGCGAGCCGCCGCCTCTGACACGCATTTACAAAGTTAATACACAGATGGTCCACGCTAGAGTGACCAAATCAGGGTAGCCCAATTAGTCGTTCACTTGTTTCTCAAAACACAACAACTCCTGAGTTGTTTCATTTGTGAACCTCGCTCACTCTCATCTTGAACCGCTTGGTTCGTGTGTTTTCATATCCACCACCACCTCACATTTTTTTATAGTTCATATTTTCTGTCACATTCTCTCCCCTGTTTGCTTTTTTGAGCTCCTCTAGGCATACACCCGGGCCTATAATCTGACCCTGCCCTCCTCCCCTGTCATTACACCCGTTTTCTGAGATGCCATTCTGTTCCCGTGGCAACCCTCTAATTTGCTAACCTCAACCACAGAGGCTACAGCAAAGGGGTGGGGCCTAATGTGGTCAGAAGAGGAGGAGCCTCGCAAACAGAAAATAAAATAACTTCCAAACGATTGTGGATTTTGTTTTTACAAACTCTCCAGATTTTCCCCCTGCAACCTCTGAATGAGGTCTAGGGAAATGTTGAGGTTGGCGGTGGTTGGTTCTCATTCTGAGGTTGACTGGTAACAACGTGATGGTGTTTATATACACATGCAAGGCCAGCAGTGGTGAGGCGGACGGTAAACTGCTGAAATAACTCAGCATAGGTTGAAGCGCGATAGTAAAAGGCAGTCAGTTTCCACGAAAGGATGAATCTCACTAAACTCAGCTTAAACAAAGTTTGTTTTTTGTTTTTTTCCAGGTACAATAGCCTTATTTCTTCATAGCTAAATAGACAACAATGTAAACATTTATAATTAAATGTAGAACTCTTTACGGGCACAAATAGTGGCAATGGCAGCTAGCTGTAGCACTTCTGGTTCAGCCTCAAACACGTCCTGCAGGAACATCATAATATTCCTGCGGGAGTAACAGTGTGGTGCGAAACTGATGGCATATATACATTTATAAAATAGGTAGTCTTCAAAGTTCATGCTCAATAATCCAGGTAAAAAAATTCCAACAAAGTTAAGTCAGGTCATCTGGATGGTTTCTTTGTGTTGAAACGTTTCTTCCTTCATCCAAAGGACTTCATCAGTCCGAGGAGCTACAACAAACTCTGTCCCATTAGCACACTCACACAGTAGGCCACCCAGTTTGATGGAGAGAAGATGGTTTCTGGAGTCCGCCCTCTGCGCCGTCGACTCCTCTGAGAATTTTTTTTACCTGAATTATTGAGCATGAACTTTGATGTTTTGAACCACTTTGACCATTGGCTGCCTCAGAGGAGTTGACGAGGGAGAGGGCGGACTCCAGAAACCATCTTATCACCATCAAACTGGATGGCCCACTATGTGAGTGTGCTGCTTGTGGGACTGAGTTTGTTGTGGCTTCTCGGACTGATGAAGTCCTTTGGATGAATGACGAAACGTTTCAACACCAAGAAACCGTCCAGAGGACCCGACTTAACTTTGCTGGATTTATAAAATAATGTTTGCAATAATAGCTTGGAAATCTTTGAGACGAGTTGTTTTAAGACGGCCGCAGTTCGTCTTAAAACTAGCTGCTTATTGCCACTTTGGTAATACCTTATAAACAAATCGTACGCTGATGTCCCCCATCTCTGATGGATTTCAAAAGTGAATGTTTGTAGTTTTGAAAAGAGTTTTTCAAAAACTTCTGGACTGGAATTGAACAGGTAAGCAAACGTTTATGGTGCAAGATATTAAAGTGGGTATGAGTTATACGGTGTATAAAGACAGAGGTATGTTTTTCTATTTCTTGTCCGAGGCAGCACAGAGTGACGGATCCTGGTGAGTGGAGGGAGCCATTGAATCTACAGCCAGGTGCAATGGCGGAGCCAAGGGGTGGCCATTGGTGGCCTTGGCTGCATCAATTAATCTTTGACCACCCCAGGCATCATCCCAGTCATTTGAGTAAATTACACTTTTAAACAATAGAAAAAAAACTAGAACGCATAGTTTCCTCAAAAGGTAGGGGTGGTATGTTTACATGTATGTACAGCGCTGCCATCTTGGATTTTGACTTGGCAACCCAATTTGGGATTGTGGCCTTATTTAATTTTAGAGGCAGCCACACCAAAATAGAAGTGAGCATATTGCTTATTTTCCAAGTTATCCAGTTCATAAGGTTTACATATATGAGGGCAGCCATCTTGGATTTTGACACGGCAACCCAATTTTCTAAAGGAACCTTTCTTATGCCACACCAAAATGGAAGTCTATGTCACTTATATTTCAAGTTATTGCGCTCACAACAGGCATGGACGGATGGATGAAGGGTATTTCCAATTCCAATTTTCGCTCTGCAATGGGGGACAATAATGTTTTGCACAATCTTATGCAACATTGGAAGATTGCAAGAGATGTGTTAGCACTCCGACTTTATATCTCAGTTACCACCACGCCAAAATGTAGCTCAGTATGTGTAAAACTGTCCAAGGTGCATCCATTTATGTATTGGTTAATCTCAATTAGCTGCGGTGAAAATTAAATGACTCCAAAAATGAATTGTTGTAGACGTCCATTCAATGATTACCATCTGTGCTACACTAAAATCTATCCAATGTTTCATAGGGAAATATTGCCAACAGACAAACATGAAAACAAACATTTTTTTATTTTAAATGAGGTTATCAACATTCAATCTCAAATGTGACCACTATTAGTTGTTAAGACTTCCACAGACCTTCACTTTGAAAGATCTGAACTATCCCTCGAAGGAAAAACGGTTTGACCATGTTGATCTGCGTGCCCGTTCATACTTGTGCACAAAGAAGCCCTTATAGTAACACACACCTGGCATGTGCTGCATGTCAGCGTGACATCACAACGCTGAGCCATACATGGACACGAGGTCGAGCCTTCCTTCCATCCCTGCAGAAGAGTCTGCTGGCAGCCCAGACACCGTCCCGAGCACAAAGAGTCTTTTATAAACCCACGCATGTCCAGGCCCCACTCAGAGACATGCTGCCAGATGTCCGAACGGCTCAGACAACAAGCCTGCGAGCATGAACGAATGTGAGCATGTGTGTACATATGGTTGAACCCTCCCCTCCTTCGCCCCCGCCACCTCTGCAGTGTTGTGACCCTGGGCACCCCCCTCCCCGCCGTCGGCCCTGTGATGGGTCCAGACGGTTTGTGTGGGAGGCAGGATTTCACTTTGAAATGTGTTGAATCAGCACGGAGCACAACAGAGTACAGCTCTGTGTGTGTGTGTGTGTGTGTGTGTGTGTGTGTGTGTGTGTAACTGGGAGTGTGCTGGTGGACAAAGCTTGGATTTCAGGGCTGTCAGGGATGGGGTAGCATTTAGGGGCTGCTGATCCCAGCGGATCCTGTTCCGGTCAACAGCTCTCCTTTAGGTTTCCTCACTTTCTTTTCCTGAGCTAGTTTTCCTCTCCTTCATATCAAACAGAAGCTTTCAACCACACACACACACATACACACACACACCATGTGCTGAAATTAGACCCACAGGAGCTCTAATTACAAATTGTAGACGCTGTTAAAATCTGTTTGATTGTGAAGAATGAAGCAATTAATCAGTCGCCGGGGAGCTGTTCCGTCTTAATTGTTTCTGCTGACATTAGTTTTATGGAGACTTTGACGCAGCTGAATTCTCATAGAGTTGAGGACTATTTAAGTTTTTCTCTCTCTCTCAAGGTTTGTCCTGCATTTTAGCTTTGAATGAAGAAAACAGCGGCAGCTCCAAGTCTGTTATTCGGATCACAGTTCCTGAAAGTGCGTCTTCGATAAAAAAGCTTTTTCTCTGTTGGAAATATATATTTGGAAAGAGTTTGTTTAAACCAACTCATTACGCTCTGATTACACGTTTAGGATTTTCTTATAGTGGTCACCTTTTTCTAAACACTGCCCAACAATAGGCTCCCAGATGTGAATTTGTACAGCTGTTTATCATCTTATATCGTTACCAACCATCAAATATTCCGAGAAAGTGCTTTTGTGATATCTACACGACTAATTTAAAGAGATGCTTCAGATCGTTTGAAGTGGGATTCTGGGGGAAGGTTAGCCCCCAGGTAAGACATTAATTGTTAACAGCCTTTCTACATGAGCCCACTTTAAAAGATCTGAAGTATCCCTTTAAGGAGATAACATTGTCAGTGATCACACCTGGAGTTTTCTGTAGATGTTATTAAAGAGACTGTTTGAAAAGTTTGAACTCGAAATTTTAAAAGTATCTTGAACTCTGAGTTGTTTTCTGGATTTAGTGATACGTACCATATTTTCCACCGTACACGTCGCCCCCCCCCCCCCAAATAAGTCGCATCAGTCCATATATGTCTAATAAAGTGGAAAAATACATACATAAGTACATCACATCTATTGTGCGTCACCAATGACAACCCAGAAATGTGGGCCGGTGTGCCAAAAATCGATTGGCTTCCAAATGGCGGACGCGGGAGTGTGCACAGGAGGACTTTAACAAGAATTTAACAAGATTAACACTTATAACAATTACTTGTTTGCTCAAGATTATAGTAAAGATGTGTCTCAGTTGAACTTTTGCTTAATAAATGCACTTTGACAGTCAAATCAGCTGCATTTTAAAAGCTGATTCACGTAAACAAGAAAGCGCAGAGGGATGACTCGCTGTGCATTTCTTTGAAATTTAACAAGATAACCACCTAAAAACAATTATTTGTTTGCTCAGGATTATTGCAAAAGTGTCTCAGTTGAACTTTTACTTAATAAATGCACTTCAATGGTCAAATTAGCTGCATTTCACTGGGGCGACACAGCAAAATGTAGCTGATTTGACGGTTTCTCCAAGCGAGCTGGACAAAGGTGGGAGACTATGGCAAGCTGACTGTCTCATTAATAGCCACTTTTACCCATTATATGACAATGGCACGCCATACCACTAGCGGCTGAAAATGGTAGTGTTCAATATTTTCAGTCAGAATGAATGAAAACGGTCACATCTCAGCCAAAAATTGGGTTTATAAATATGGGGGAAAAATCTATAAATAAGTTGCAGGGCATGCAAATAATGCAGAAAAAAAAAGCGACTTATAGGCCAAAAAATACGGTATTTCTGAAATGTGGGTATGCACTTAATGTAAACAAAGCTCAGCTGAATCCATCTGAAACCACATATTTAGGTTTGTTTGTGAAGGAAAACAAATACGGAGAACAAATCGGACAAACAAAGAATCTCAGGAAGACTTTTAGGTGTTTAAACGTTTGTTTGTTTATTTATTTAGGTAATAAATAAACATTTTTTTTAGGTTTAATGGCTTTTCTATGTTGATCTGTAGATTTTTTTAAATATAAAATTGGAGTAATAAAAAGTAACTAAACATAAACCAGGTTACCTATTTACCTATTTACAAAACTGACTTTATATTTCTGCTCTTTTTTATTGTTTGTTTCCATCTTATCAGTTTTTTTCTTTATTCCCAAAATAACACATAAAGGAAATTAGAGTGACCTTTCAAACATTTACTACAACTGCCATGTTTATACCGTTTGTACGTTTTGGCCATAACATTTTATAATTCAAGTACAAGAATAATCTACCGGTATATATTTTATTCTTCAAACGATTTGAGCCGTTCTGTTGTTAATTTGCACACCTGACTGAAGAGAGGACGAGCGAGTCACAGATCCTGTATCCCGTTACAGATCAGTCAAACTCTGAACTTCAAAGATGCAACCACATTAAACAACTCTCATTACGCTCTCTGATTTTCTGGTTCCTGGCTTTAACAAAAAAAAAAAGTCTGAAATGCAGTTTAGTTGAGATTTCCACACAATTTAAAGTCTAAATGTGAGCATGAATATATAAAGGCAGGTACATCCTGCAAGTTCAGCCCACGTGGATGCTAAAGGTGAAACCTGCTGCCAAACTTTTCCTTTTATCTGTCCACACTTGCCCTAATTTTTGCCTCTGTTATTCTTATGCTCAGTCCTGCTGCCCCCCCCCCCCCCCCATTTGATTGTGTGTTAGTGACTACATGTTGATTTGCAGGCAAACACAAAGTGATAACGGGGAATGAAGAGAGTTTGAACTTGTTTGAAGAGGTTACAGATTGTTTTCATCTTCAAGTGCAGCAAAACGGGACGTGGCTTTCAGAAAAGTTGCCCCCCAGGGGAGCGTGTATGATCTTACATTGTGGTGTGTTGTAGCTAACTCTTCTGACAGGGCTGCAGCTGGCTACTGAGAAGTGTGTGTGTGTGTGGGGGGGGGGGTGCATATGTTTTGTAAACCAGTTGTTCCCCCTCCCCCTTTATCCCCCCAGCACTTCTGCGAGAAGAAATGTGTGGTCCGCCTCCTACGCTTGACGGCTGTGCCAACATTCCTGACAAACATGAGAAGAAAGACGGGGGTGGGGGGGAGACAAGAGGACAGCGAGGGGACACTGAGAAAACAACTGAAACTCTTTGGTCCTAAAGACGAGGAGGTCTGCCCTCGATAAAAAGGAGTGAAGGTGACACCATGTCCAGGGATCGGGGGGGCTTGAGAAAAAGAGAAACCATTGTTTCCTAAATTGCCCCTAAGGCCTCTATCATAACCTCTGCAACCCCCCCATCACAGGCACATCATAAAATCCTGCAGTGGATTCCTAGAATACCATCCTTTTACAAGTCGGGGTCCCGCTTTGTGTACGACGCGCACCGACACACACTCCTAACGTGCGCTGCTGTCACCCCATCCAGCTCCACCACAACAACTCGTTCCCGTGTGGAGCTGCGTTCATGTCTTGTCCTGCCTCTCAGGAACACTCGGGACATCCAGCGCAAGAAATGGTTAATAAACAAGCACACACCTTCAAATTAGCTCCTGCGTTTAGACGTTTCAAGCTGCGACCTGCCGTCGACCTATCCCACATCCAGAGAGGCAGAGGCCACGAATTCAGCCGCTCAGCGCGAGGCCGCATGTGTGTGTGTGTGTGTGTGTGTGTGTGTGTTTGTGCGAGGATCCGTCTGAGATGCCAGACTTATCCGCCACACGCTGACCCCTGCGTGCACTCTACAGATACCTACAGTGCTCCAGTACACTTGCTGGTAGAAGGAATACTTGTATCAACAGTTTTGGGTAATCCTGCACGTTGGCAAACACAAAAATCACTTTATATCAGTCAGTTGTACAAATATTGAGCTCAAATTTGGTGTTGTGGAGTCATTCACATCACATACTTTGATACATATTCTTTGTGCTTTTTTGTTTTGTTTTCCGAGATGCAAGCGTGGCAAACGTAGCCAGAAACTCGTTACCTGGTGGCTTCTTGCTCCAGACGAGACACGCTGGGAACATAGAACATGACTCCAAAAAAGAGCAGCGGCTCATTGCCAAACTTGTCCAGCTGCTTTTTGAGGGGTTTCTCGAGCTCTACCCAGCGCTGGGCCGGGGTCTGGGTCTTCCCTTGGAACCACAACCCAAAGTAATGAGTCTGCAGACCAGAGAGAGAGAAGGTGTAAAGAAAAACCGGAGGGGAAATGACACACAGAAGCAGCTCAGATAAACTGTGGAAACTAAACCAACAAACCTAAAAAAATATTTTCCTGAAATGAAAACACAAGAGAGACGGACAGCAAATATAAAACTCGGTGTTAGGGGGTTTGTAGGGATGGAGGAAAAAAAAACATGAGAAATTACAATAAAAAATACAAAAGGAACTAGAGAAATTGCATTTCCAGCGAAAATGCAGCGTGAATGGATAAGATCTTGCTGAAAAACAGCTGAAATTAGCTAAAACAAAAACATTCTGAAATCTAGCTGAAATGGAAGAACAAGCCTAATTTAGCAGAAGAAAGCAGAACGAACACGTTTACTGAATTTGGTTTAAATAAGCAGAAATAAGCACAAAAATTAGGAAATCTAAAAAAAAAAAAAAACCTGAAATTGGCAACAACAAAAAAATAGCTGAAAAGGCAGAAAGAAGCTTAAACTACCAGAAGGAAGCGAAAAGAGCTAAAATTAGCTCATAAAATGTGGAATTAGCTGAAAAAGCCAAAATTAGCATCAAAAGAGCTAAATTTTGGTTGAAAGAGCAGAAAAAGCTGCAGCGTGGAGAAATAAGCTGAAGGGAACATAAGCTGAAATGAGCAGAAAGATGTTAGAAGAAGCACAAAAATGCTGTAAGCAGAATAAAGCAGAAAAGAGCACAAAACAGCTGAAATTAGCTGAAAGTAGCTGGAAAAAAGTTTAAATTTGCACAAGGGAGCTGAAAGAAGCCGAACCAGAACAAACTGTGAAAGGAGCGGTAAAATGTTGTAAACAGACCTAAAGATATGAAGGATGTAAAATGAGCTCAATTCATTTCGTATGTGGAAAAAAATGGCAGAAAAGCTAAATATTTCAAAAAGCTAAAGTTGCACCAATACTAAAAGTCCTAACAGGATTGTCCTGAAAGAGCTGAACGTTTTGATTTGTTGAAATAGCTTAAAAACTGCGGGACAAGAATGGATCACAATAGTGTGAATGCTTCTTATGCAGACTCACAATAAAGACAAATCAGTATCAGTAAATAAAATAAAACAACTGGAACACCGGCTGTTTACTGGCAGTCCTGGGATTGGCAGAACGTCTCTCACTTCCATTCAATCTGTAAAACCTGAAGGCTTCACCTTAGACTCCATTTTCCTTTCTGCTGCATTTGAATTCAGTCCTCTCAAATAATATTCCCACCAATGATATGAACACGTGGATGTTCGTCCATGTTACATCTGAAGAGTAACTTCCTTCAACTGAACCAAACCAGATTAGACTGAAGTAACTGTTTTGGTTCACCTTCCTCCATGAGAAGTTTTAAATGTATATGCAAGATGCAATACATCATCTTCATGTTATCTTATACTTTAACAAACATGCCCAGAATGTTGTTAATCAGCCTAAAATATACTAAATTATGTTTGTTTTCTAAGAAAAAATCGTTTCCACAACTATTTTCAACTTTAGTTGCCTCTAAATGTACTATAAAAAACAAAGTAACCTTTCTTTTTTTTAGGAGATCTGTGTTCAAGCTAAAAGAGAAAGATCCAATGTTCGATGAGAATAAATTAGATTTTTCTAGGGACAATTATAACTTCAAGCAGTTTTCTGAAAACTATTTTGTTCTTGGTAAAAGAAAAAAAAGGCGAGCCAAAATACCAGCTGTAACGGAGCAACTTAAACAAACCACATCCCTCAATGTTTAATATCTTTAGACCCAAAATATTTTAGAACGTTACACTGATCAAACTCGATAAGTCGGTCTGTATCACAAAGAGGTTAGCACACACGTCTTTAGCTCTGTTTTATGTTTCCTAAATGCAAACGATCAAGCTGGAGGCTTCGGCTGCAACATGCAGAACTATGATGACAAACTCACTGTCAGGCTGAAAGATGAGGTCAAAAGTTCATGAGGTGATGTGCATTCATGCTGAAGTTATGGTGTTACACCTAATTTATAACATCGCAGACACCTGATGGATATCACAACACTATGAGAGCATGCGCAAGAACACAACCCCTCTCTGCATCGCTTTGTCAGCGGCTCCAACAGACACTACAACAACACACACGTTCATAGTGTGGTCACAAACAGCTCTAAAACCAACAGTGAATAACAGTCAGTTAACAGCCTGACAATAAACAGAAAGCCACAGTCTGTGTTGAGACAATAAAACTCCAGAAAAAAGAACAAAAGGAGACAGAAGGGGTTAATTAAGACAGCTTTGTTACAATCAAGGACCCTGCAGGAGATGGACACAGAGGACAGGGAAGATGGGTCGTCAGAAGAGACGTGCAGCAAACGGAGTAAACAAAATGTTTAACACTGCTCAACTAATCAGCTGCTGATAATTTATGAGTGAAACTGGGTCAACAAGACATTTCTGAACGAAACGAGGTAAACATCACCTGATACATAATGCATGAAGTTAAGAGTCACAAAGTACAGAACTCACCTCCCGGAGCTCCAGCCTTTGGGCCACCATCTCCAGGCACTCCTGTCCCGTGCTCTCCACCGACAGGGTGCATTCGATCACGTTGGTGTCCAGCAGGCGGATCCGCGTCACAAAAGAGTTCTTGCTCAGGACGTTGTAGCGACGGGTTCGCCGCAGCTTCAGCCGGAAGGGCATGGCTGGTCAAGGTGGTGGTGGGGTCACAGTTGAGTCAAAGGTCAAAAGTCACTTGAGAGCACACGAGGAGTAAAGGGGGTGGACAGGCTCTATGACCTGGCTGCTGCCCTCCTCACTCTCGCACGATGCCAGCCACACCACCGGGCGGAGAAATGAACCCAGGCAAGGCGCTGGCCCATTCCCAAAGTTGTCCGGTGAGGATGAGGAGGAGGAGGGTGCGAAAGAAGAGGTTGAATAGATACTGTGAAGAAAAGTAAACAAAGAACATGTAAGTAGCGGCAGAAAATTCCATTAGCAGACTTCTTTAGAACATTCCTTTTCTGCTCGAGCTCTTAAGATTAGAGATTTTATAATCAGTAAATGGTCCTGCTATCAAGTCCTCCCACGTCATATTTCAAAACATTATCATCCTCCCTGCAGGCAGAGCTATAAAAATTACCAGTAAGAACACTAGCAGCAGTGTGATTCTAGCAGAAGCAAGAACAATACGAGTGCAGATAGACGAACCCTGCAGTCTGGGGGCCCGGCGTCAGGCAGGCAGGAGACAGGGGCAGAGATGTGAAGCTATGGATGAATGGACAGCAAACAGCTGAACACAGATCCATGTGAACCCAGTAGTGTGCTATATAAGAACTAATGAATCTTCTATGCGTCATATCTGCACTTTCAGGAGGACTTCAACTTTCCTTTTACCAAGCCAGTCCATTTTCTCCATCCAACAGCAGCACACTGTAGTGTACAGAGTAGCAGTGACCTTTTTTATTATCTCTTGTCACAAAACTAGAAAGCTAGCTAGATTTGCACTGATTGCTTGGCAGGTGACCGGGATCGGCTACCTTTCAGGTTATGCATCTCCTCCTATCACATATCTGTAGTTGTGTCGTGGAGGCAACAGGTCCAGGAGAAAAACCCAGACATCCCTCTCCCCAGCAACCCTCTCCAGCTCCTTCTAAGGTTTGGGTTAGGCCAGAGAAAATCCCTCCAGTGAGTTCTGGGTCCTTCCTGAGGTCTCTTACCAGTGGGATGTTCCTGGAAAACCCCTAAAGGCAGTGGTCCAAGTAGTATCTGAATCAAATATCTGAACCACCTCAACTGACAGCGGCTCTATTCTGAGCTCCCCTGTATAACAGTGCTCCTCACACTCCAACTGAGGCCAAGACCCACCCCCACCCAAAAGAGGGGCATTCCACCCGTTTCTGATTGAGAACCATGGCCTCAGATTTAGAGGAAATGACTTATTCCAGTCGCTTCACACTTGGCTGCGAACCGCACTGGTGCACGCTGATGGTCTTGGCCTGAAGATGCCAGCAGAACCACAAGCAGAGATGAAACCCTGAGGTTCTCAAACCAGATACCCTCCATGACCGCGCCTTGAGATCCTGTCCATGAACGCCACAAACAGGTTCAGAGTCAAAGGACAGCTCTGGTGGATTCCAGCCCGCACCGAGAACAAGCTCCACATTGTGCCTAGAATGTGAACACGGCTCCAGTTTTGGTTACACAAGGACCAGATAGCCCTTAAAAGCAATCATTCAATGGCAGATATGGCACTTAAAAGTCTGGCTAATAGGCATATGTACTGGATTTTTTTTTTTCTGTTCATAAAAGCATCATTGCCAAGTAGGGATGGGAGTCTTTAAGCACCTCCTTGCTGGATTATGGTCGTGATGTGATTATCAAACAATTATCAATGTATTTTAATTATCCTGAGATGCAAATGACTACAGCTTATTTCAAGTTTTAACCGTATGTGAAAGATTTAAGGTTAGCATTATGGTAAGGTGTTTTGGGGGATGTGGTAGCTTGGTGGTCAGTGCCATGGTCTTGTAATCCTGAGGTTGCAGGTTCGAGCCCAAGTTGCATCAGAATGGGCATCTGACATAAAACAAATTGCCAAATCTTTCATGCGAGTTCGCTGGTGACTCCTGAATAAGGGAGCAGCCAAAAGAAACTTAATATTATGGTAAGGTACATAAATTCAAAGGAAGCACAATAGGTTTAAGAAGCTACCAAAAGGAAACTTTTTTCTTTCAGAATATGCATGTCTGCTGCTCACCTTACTGTTGAGTAACATATGTGACCCATGCTGGCAAAATTAGACAGAATGAGAACAGACAACAAAAAATAAAACATAAAAATATTGATTTAGCATAAACGTTAGCTTAAAAAGACATTATCTAGCAAGCCCAATAACTACAATACCATATGAGCTTCCCTATATATATATAT